TTCTTTGTGTGTGAGTGAACATGTGATATGGTACCCTCTGTTCCCTGGACCAGAGCTGGTTCATGGGCCCAGCAGTCCTATCATTACATTTCTCTTGTACAAACTAAACTCTGGTCTGCAGAGAAATGTCTGCACCACACACACACACACACACACACACACACACACACACACACACACACACACACACACACACACACACACACACACACACACACACACACACAAATTTCATCTTACAAAACCCTTTTGTATGCACATTCAGGAAAAGGATTAGTCCTGCAGGGCAAATGAAAGTCACTAATTTTTTTTTAACTTAAAAATTGTTTCCAAACCAGTACAACAGTCACAGCTACAAACAACTAAATAGATAAATGCACTCATATATGTTTGCATTCAACCTTTCCACACTATCTGCACAGCTAATATTTAACATTATTAACCCACTTTAGCAGTGAGTATTCTAATAATCCTAAAATCAAATCAGTGATTGCTTTGTTAAACCTCAAAATAAACATTGTATAGGTAAGAAGGGAGGGACACTGTGTGCATACTCAGTATACAGAGGTCAAGCCTCAAGAGGTCATGAGAGGGCGGCCCAGGTTTAATTTCAGCCCGTGGCTCTTTTTCTGCATGTCATGATCGATCCCATTTCCTGCTGTCCTACTGTCCTGTCCTCTCCCTATGGTTTTTACTGTACCTTAACATACTGTTTCATAATGTATGGTATAGTATGGTGTGGTTTCATATCATATGGAACCATATCATATCTTTGCACATCATATCTTATGTCATTGTATTATATCATACTCTACTTAGGCACTTTCCTTTGTATTGTATTGTGTGGCGTGTGGTGTATTTTGTGGACCCAGAAGCAGACACAGAGACAGATATTAAGTTAAACGATGTAATTTTAATGTCCAACTCAGGGGAAAAAGGCACGAGAGAAAGTCCAGTTTGCTGGCTGGCTGTTGTGTGGGCTGGAGACACTGTGGAGAAGCAGAGGAGATGGAAGTGAGAAGACATACAAAGAATCACAGGGAGAAAAAAGTCACAAGCACTCATCCGAGGAGAAGGCCAGGAGAAGCGTCTGTACCACTCAGGAGTAAAGACAATACTCAGGCGCTGAGACTGAGGGCTGCTGGCTTCTTCAAGGGCCTTAATTGCCAATGCAGCGCAGGTGTGGAGTCTCTCTCAGCCTCAGTGACTTGGGGGAGGGAGAGTGGTCTATAAACATTCAAGCCAGACCAGGGAAACAAGGAAAACGAAAGTTACGTATGTAACTACGGTTCTATGAATCCCGAATGACCGCCAGAGGCGGTGCTTTAAGCACTGAATATTCCCCCGCGTAGTTCGAGTGTTTATACCAAAATAGTCACCTGTGACCCCCATATGACCCGGTAGGAGTCTATATCTGTGGGAGTCACCAGGTAATCAGTCCCTACAGAATTTTCTCGCGAAACACGAGGATTCTGAGTGACCCAGTGCTCTGGCGGTCATTCAGGATTCATAGAACCGTAGTTACATACGTAACTTTCGTTCTATTTCATCCCTACTGACCGCCAGAGGCGGTGCTTTAAGCACTGAATGTCTCATGCCAACATAGTCACGAAGAATCCTGATTACAAACCTTAACAGGTAGAATCGGACTCCGGGCACAGGACCACCCCCATTGGGTGGGGAGTGGCGACGTTCACCCTATAGAATCAAGCAAATGTGCTTGCTGATGCCCATGAAGCAGCGGCGCAAATATCCCCTAGGGGCACGCCCTTCAGGGCAGCCCATGATGTGGCAACGCTCCTGGTGGAGTGGCACCGTATGGCCGCTGGTACAGGCTGGTTGTCAGCTTCATAGGCCTGGCTAATAGTCTCTACTATCCAGTGGGACAGGCGCTGCTTTGAGAGCGCGTGACCCTTTTTAGGGCCCGAGTGGCTGAGGAATAGCTGCTCAGAACGCCGAATACGTTTAGTAGCCCTGATATAGGCCCTCAGAGCCCTCACTGGGCAGAGCAACTCCATCCTGCCTGTCTCTCCTGGTGGAGCAGTAAACTGAGCCAGCTTTATAGGCTGGTTGAGGTGCGAAGCAGACAACACTTTGGGGAGGAAAGCAATATTTGGCCGCAAAGTGACCCCTGACCCGTCAGAGTTCCACCTCAGACATGAGTCGCTCACTGACAAGGCGTGAAGCTCCCCAACGCACCTGGCTGACACAATGGCCAGAAGGAAGGCTGCCTTGAATGACAGCCACTTGAGCGCTGCCCGTGCTAAGGGCTCATAGGGAGGCCCGCATAGGGAATCAAGCACAATCTTAAGGTCCCACGCCGGCACTCTCGGGGCTCTTGGTGGATGCAACCTCCAAGCCCCCCTGAGGAATTGGGTCACCAGGCTATGACTCCCTACTGTGGCATTATCGATCTTAACATGTTGACAGGATATGGCCGCCACGTAGACCTTTAGAGTTGAAGGGGATCGGCCCCTACCTTGGAGGGATTGTAGAAACTCCAGAATTGTTGGGAGAGAACACTGCACTGGATCCTCACTGCGAATCATTACACCAGCTAGAAAACAGTTTCCAGCGGTTGGCATATTGCAGCCTGGTGGATTGTGCTCTTGCGTTCAGAATGGTGTGCTGAACAGCATCTGAGCAGCTGCTCAGCAGCGGTTCGGGCCCTCCAGCAGCCAGACACATAATTTGAGGCGTTGGGGGTTGGGATGCCAGACCCGCCCCCCTAGCTGCGAGAGCAGGTCTCTCCTGTCGGGGAGGCGCCATGACCTCCCGTGACAGAGTCGGAGGAGCAGAGGGAACCACATCCTCCCCGGCCAGAAAGGCGCTATTAGCAGGATGGTGTGACCCTCCTGAAGGACTCTCTGAAGAATGGGCCGGACTAGTGGAAGAGGTGGAAACGCGTAAAGCAGTGCCCGTGGCCATGGGTGAGCCAGTGCATCCTGACCCAGAGGACTGGTTGTCTCTCCTAGAGAGAACCACAGGGGGCAGTGGGTCGAAGCCTCTGAGGCGAAGAGGTCCACCTCTGCCCTGCTGAAGCGACCCCAGATGTGCTGCACTACCTCTGAATGGAGACACCACTCTCCCGGAGGAGGTTTCTGACGAGAGAGGAAGTCTGCCACCTCGTTTCTCTCTCCTGGCAAATGCATGGCCCGAAGACTGGCCAGGCGAGGGGCTGCCCACGTCAGGAGATCTGTGGAGACCTGCAGCAGCCGCCTGGACTTGGTCCCCCCCTGATGATTCACATGGTAAACGGTCGAAGTATTGTCCGACCGAATGAGTACATGCTTGTCTCTCAGAAAAGGCAGAAAGTGCTGCAGAGCCAGGTGAACAGCCCGTAGCTCCAGCACGTTGATGTGCTCGGCACCATCTTTGGCAGACCATTGTCCGCGAGCCGTCCTGTTCTGCCAGACAGCACCCCAGCCCGTGGGGCAGGCATCGGTGGTCACGATCTCCCTGCGGGATGGAATGGATCCCATAGGGACACCCCCTGATATAAAGGCCCTGTCCCTCCAACAGGCCAGGGCAAGGAGACACTGCTGTGACACCCTTATTCTCCTGTGCCTCTGCCGCTCTGCATCCAACTGAAAGCTGTTGAGCCATCTCTGCAGAGGGCGCAACCGCAGCAACCCCAGCGGAACGACAGCCGCAACGGAGGTCAGTTTGCCCAGGAGGCGAAGGTACATGACATACGGTAGATACCTGCCTTCCTGAAAAGTGCGGAGGAGTTTTACGATGTCGTCCACCCGGTGGGTGGACGGACAAGCTGTCATGGTCTGCGTGTGCAAGGCCAGGCCGATAAATGTTGTGGTCTGAGAAGGTTTGAGACAACTCTTTTCCCTGTTTACCTTCAGCCCCAGGCTGGATACATGAGACAGGAGATGCCTTGTCCGTGTGACGACCTCTTCCCTGGATGGAGCGCATACCAGCCAATCGTCCAGGTATGGCAAGATTTTTACCCCCCGTGCTTGCAGTGGTGCCAGTGCCGCTGCCACACATCTGTTGAACACCCTTGGGGAGAGGGAGAGGCCGAAAGGAAGCACCCTGAAATGCCAATGCCTTCCGCGATACGCAAACCGCAGGAACCGGCGGTGTTGATGGGCAATGGGGACATGGAAGTAGGCATCCTTTAGATCCACGGACGTGAACCACTCCCCAGGTGCCACAGACTGCAGTACGTCTGACGTCGTTATCATGTGGAACAGTATAACTTTTAAATATCGGTTGAGTCCCCTGAGGTCTAGAATGGGGCGGAATCCCCCAGTCTTCTTTGCTATTATAAAGTATGTTGAGTAGAACCCCCCGGGTTGAGATAGAGGGTCCACGGGCTCGATGGCGCCCTTGGCCAGGAGGGAGGATAACTCCTGGTCCAGTATGGTGGCTTTTGCCGGGTCGCAGATGACTGTTGTTTTGACCCGGCCGGGTGCGGGGGGCCGACGTCGGAATTGAAGCTTGTACCCGTGGGTCAGGGTGGAAACAACCCATGGGTCCGAAGCTTGAGCAGCCCAGTACTTGAGCTGCTGATGGGAAAAATATCCGACGGCCGGCCCCGTGGCTTCAGTACTTGGGCCCTCGGCCCCTCGGGGGCCTGGGGGGGGGGCGTCCAGGGTTTGGGGAACGAAAGTGCCTGGAGGGCCCAGGAGGCAAGGAGTCAGGAACCCGAGGGTCGCGGGTCTGACCCTGTACAGGGCGCTGGGAACGGCGCTGGCCGCTGGAGTAGGCTGGTGTTGGTGTGCTACCCCGTGGGGCATTTGAGCGTCCTCTGCCCCTGCTGGGGGGGGCCCTGTTCGGGGGAGGCATGCGTCGCAGGCCCGCAAGCTGCTGCCTTGTCTGCCCCGCCTGGATTGTCCTCTCCAGCGCCTCCTGCGCAGCTGGGCCGAATATGGTCCCTGGCTCCACTGGGAGAGCACACAGGGTTCTTCTGGTCTTCTCCGTCAGGGGTGACTGCGACAGCCAGACCTGGCGTCGAGCCTGGACAAGGTAAGACATCATTCGTCCTAGCTCCCGTGACATGTGGCCAAAGGCCTCCAAGGCCGCATCGCAGAAGTTACTGCTGTCTCCGGCTTCCCCGTCTGCTTTGCCTCCTGGACCTGCATCGTCCCCATGCGGGAAGCTGAGAGGGCCAACATCAGGTGTGACAGAGAGTTGCCGATGCGACCAGCACGTGCCCCCGAGTCATAGGCTCTGACTAAAAGGTCATCTGTCTGCCTGCACTGGGGCCGAGGGCACCTTGCGTCCTGACACAGCGACTCATCTGGTGACACAATGAGTGATGCGATCCCCGGCTCGATAGCTGGCATTTTGTCCAGACCCACTGATGTTGCGTCGTGCATCGCCGCCAGGGCCTGGGCATCGGCTGACAGACTGGAGCCAGCCTTTGAGTCTATCCAGCTGGCCTGTAGCTCCCTCAGAAAGTCCTCTGAGTGAGAGACGGTAGAGGATGTAGGAGGCGGCCTGCGCCTGAAAAAGGCGCTTGCAGGAGCTGATCTGGCGTGCTGTGGCGCTGCCACATTCAGCTGCTCCAGGGCCGTGCGCAGTATGTCGCGCATAGAGGAGTCCTCTGTCACAGCCAGTGAGCTGTAGCTTGAGGAGCGGGAGCCCATTGAGGTCCGGGAGGTACTGCTTTCTCCATCTTCCTCAAACTCGCAGAAATGTGTGGCCGACGCTGCCAGGGAAAGAGCATCCTCTTCCCGGTCTAGATGTGGCATCGGTGGTGTGGGAGCCTCCTCCAATGGGGACTCGGGCCGGTGGGCCTGGGCCATCAGCAAAGCCTTTATCTGTGCCAATTCGGCCGACAGCTGATCCACTTTGGAGGTCAGACTGCGGTCAGGCTTTTTCTTCTTTGAAGGAGGTGCGGCATGATCAGTAGTGGCCTCCGCCCGGCTGCTAGACCTCCTAGACTGGGTTGAAGCCTCAGCCCGCCGCTTCAAGCGTCTAGTCTGGCCTGATGAGGGTTCGCCCTCATCTTCCACTTCTGCCAGCCTGGCAGCCCTCACCGCGTAGGGCATGTAGGTGCAATTAATACAGGCGTCGTCACCGAGTGCGTCCCTCAGATGAGCAACCCCGAGGCATCTGGGGCAGAGGTCATGGCCATCATCTGGCTCGAGAGGAGCCTCACAGGAGGAACAGGGGTGTGGGCGCTCCATGGCTTCACTGGTACCTTTATATGAGCGAGGCACAGTGCACGGTCACACGTGTTCGCTTCGCTAGCCGTAAGCCAGAGGGAGGGAGCGCGCACGCTACCTATGCAGGCAGAGGCTGTTTTGTGGGTGGGTCTGTATACAATCGGCAGGAGGGAGGCAGCGCTAACGCTACCTGTACCTGCAGAGGCTGTTTGGTGGTGGGTTTATGTTCAACTTACCGGAGGGAGGGAGCGCGAACGCTACCTGTGCCAGCAGAGGTTGACAAGGAAAAGTCGTATCAAAACTAAATATGAGAATAGAATAATTAAAGTAAGCTATGAGCTGATAGTCAACTATCCAGCAGGGACCATAACTGGGGAGAGGGGTGCTTACACCCCCTGCCAGTAGAGGCCGTTGTTGTCACGGAGTCAATAAATTCAATTAAATAAAGTACAGATTTTACTTTAAGCTAAGTAAAATTACTGCATCATACCCAATATACTCAGTTAATCAGCCAAAAAAAAAACAAGCCTTGACAACAACAGAAGAAAAAAACTAGCCCAAGGAAAAGCTTCCCACAGCTGCCAAGCTACTAGTAGCGGCTGAGGAGCAGCTAACGCTAAATGCCGGGAGGAGGGAGCGCGTGGCTGCCTACTCACAGGGCAAGAACAACGAAAAGAGTGCTACACAAAATAGCAACTGAGCCAGAGGCTAAAAAGGCTCCCTATCAACTTTCGGAGCGTTACTTGAAAGAAAATGACGCTCGACCACCGAGCTAAAGCCTCACGCTGGCTGAAAACTACAAAGCAAATCGCTATAACCACAAAAAAAATGAATATAGTGCAGTGCTCCTTGACACTAATACGATGAGAGCGCTATCGCTATTGTTCGCTTTCACCGCGAACCCGATACTTATGTTGGAGGGAGGCTACGCGAACGCAGCCTATACCGACATAAGAGGCTAACGCGGACAGCGCTGTCAACAACCTTACCTTAGACCCGCGGCGGGGCCGGCGAAACCCATAACGTTGTAGCTCATCAACAGGTTGATAAAGTTGCAGCTCCTGGAGGGCGAATGTCTCGCTACTCCGACCGATTATATGGTCACGGAACTACTTGCAACGTTTAATCGCATAGAAAAGCAGCTTAGCATTAAGCATAAAGCGAGAAAAGAAAAGGGACTGATTACCTGGTGACTCCCACAGATATAGACTCCAACCGGGTCATACGAGGGTCACAGGTGACTATTTTGGTATAAACACTCGAACTACGCATGCGCGAGGGGAATATTCAGTGCTTAAAGCACCGCCTCTGGCGGTCAGTAGGGATGAAATAGAACAGGAAGTTATACCAGAATAAAACAGGAAGTGGAGGCGTCTCACCACAGTACCCGCCTGCTGGGTTTGTTGGGTTGAGCAGCGTAGAAGTCGTCGAGGAGTTGATGGTCCAGGATAAGGGAGTGGGAGATCCAGGACCACTCCTCTGGACCATAACCCTCCCAAACCACGAGGTATTCAAAGCCTCGTCCCTGAGGCCGCACGTCCAGGATTTGTCTCACAGTGAAGGCAGGGTGGTTGTCAATCATCCGGGGGGGAGGAGGGGCGATGGAAGGGGAGCTCAGGGTGCACAAGGTGACAGGCTTAATCAGGGAGACATGAAACATGGGGTGAATTTTGAGGGATGATGGAAGTTTCAGTTTTACCACCGATGGGTTAATAATCTTCTGGATAGGGAAAGGACCAATGAAGCGGGGAGACAGCTTGCGGGACTCAGTCTTCAGGGGAAGGTCACGGGACGATAGCCAGACCATATGACCGGGACGATAGTCTGGTGCAGGGGTGCGGTGGACGTCAGTTGGGCTGCAACACACCGCAAAGCCGACAAGGGGATTCTGATTGGCCCGCTCCGTCTGACTGTTGGTCTGCGGGTGATAACCCGAGGAGAGGCTAGCTGCCCCACCCACTGCCTGGCAGAAAGCTTTCCAGACCTGGGAGGAGAACTGGGGACCACGATCTGATATGATGTCAATAGGGATACCATGGAGTTGGAAAACATGAGACACTAGGAGGTTAGCAGTTTCTAGCGCAGAGGGGAGCTTGGGTAATGGGACATAATGTACAAAAGTTTGTACAGTTTAGAGAAGACGGTGGCGTTGCAGAGGGGTTCAAAGGAGGGATCGATGACTGGCATCGTTGGATGTTGAGTCCAGGGAAGCCGATGCAAGGAGGGAGAGAGGAATCTTTCTTTGACTGAAAACAGTCAAGCCAGACCAGGGAAACAAGGTAAACAGGAAGTTAAACCAAAATAAAACGGGAAGTGGCGGCGTCTCACCACAGTATTGTGTTCTAATATATCCTCTTGTATCATACCCTATGGTATTACATCTTGACGAGATGAAGGGTAATCATGTCATATCATATCAGATCATATCATGTCATGTCTTGTCATACATCATATCATGACATATCATATCACATCATATCATATATCATATTTTATGTATTGTCACTATTATTTTTCTTTTGTATGACCTGCTTCTTTATTTTGCATACTCAAAAAAAAAATGGATTAATTAATTAATTAATCGATCAATTCTTTTTTACATGTATTTACATTGTTTTAAATGTGCTTTATAAGTAAACTGTGAATTACTAATGTGCATCTCCTGTAGCTACAGGTGTTAGCTATCTGTGAGCTGGTGGGCATGGCAGTTGATAAGGAGAATACTTGCTGCTGTGTACCTTGTGCTGCAGTGTTAGCTGGTTAATGCGGATCAGTAGAATTTCCAACACTTTAAGTTATTATAAGGACACGGGTTCTGCAACTAAACATCCTGCAGCAGGACAGTCTACAGTCACTACTAAATGTATCTGCAATGAGAAAAAGAGCAGAAACAGACTCAGCGTACAGAAATATCTTTAATTCATAAAAGATTTACACTATTTTACATATGACACATACTGTTGGTATAAAGCAGGATAAAATATCTTTGGCACACACTTGTAGATATAGATAGAAAACATACAAAATGGTTAAAAATACATCTTTATGAAAGCTCTCAATCTGTGTTCAAAGATAAGCACAGGCAACATTTCCCTTTTGGCTGGTTTTTCCCCTTTGTACAGTTCTTGCCTTGATTTACAATTTGTTTGCTTATCTGGCAAACATAGATTATGTAAAGCTGAGTAATAAAAAAAATACTGTTTGTGTGTTCAGCTCAAAACAGATGCAACTTTACTGCCTTTTGTTATCCGTGTGATATCACCAGAGAATCTGATAGTCATACCTCCATACTGTCATCTGGATAAGCAGACATTGTGAGTGATTTGGTTTTCTCCTCCAGGAACTGCATTTGATTTTGCTAATTTTATCTTTGCTCAGTACCAGGATGTCTAAAAGAGACCAGCCTTAACGCCAGCTTGAATCAGCTGACAGCTCAGTTACCTTCTGCTCATTCACTGTTTTATCTAAACTTTATGCTTCATCCACAAACCACCTCACAACATCCAGCCCAACTCCTCCTTTAGACACTGTTTCTGGGTCTGGGCCTTTGCTTTTTATTTACTCCTATGAAACGGGGAAGTTTGGTCTCCTCACCACAGGCTCTCAGAACAGTCATGTCACCAAATGTGACAGAGGACTGGTTATAAAAGTCCTCATTAAGTCTTTAATAAAATACTTGCTTCTGGTTCTTCTGAGATCCTTGAGGCTGTTCAATTTTTCTTGTCGCATTGAAATCTGCTTTTCCATGAACTGTTACAGTGCCCCACAAAAAAGAAAAAAAGCAAAAAAAAAAAAAGCAATGCTTTTAATCTGAAAACATCTTTAAACCCATGAGTATATACACACACACACACACACACACACACACACACACACACACACACACACACACACACACACACACACACACACACACACACATACACACACACAAACTTTCCTTTGGATACCTGCTGCTGGGTCCTGAGCCCACAGCATCATCAAGAGGCAGCATCTCTGCCGGCTCAAAGTCAAACACAAGAACACTTTCAGGCAGACTTTCGTTAGAATACACAACAATATAAGAACAACACACATCTGTAATGCTTAAGTATCAAAGCGTAAAGTGCACATCAAATGTCTTTGGTTTAACAGTTACTGCCCTCTTTATTTCTGACAATGACACAGAAGCCTGTCTGACTCTTGAAAATACTGTCTGCACATCTTTGGAAGCTTCCAGTTACCTTTGTTTTGGCTCTTTGGCTTTTCAGCTGATTAAGGCAGGTTGTTACATATAAGAGGTGGTTAAGCTCAAGAGCAAAACCCAGAGACCCTCTGCAGGGTTAAAATAAGAAACAATAATGTAACCCTACTCAAAGTCCTGGGATTCAGGAGCTCAGCTCCTGAAAATCACTGCAGAGGTTTCTTTTTTAAATCCCCCTACAAGCAGAATAAGTGCTCTTGTTGAAAAATCACCCAATGAGTCCATGTGTGTCTCACTTTTCATCACTGACAGAACAGTCCACGGCTATTATATCTTGTATTTCTGTGATTTTCACCATGTCTGGCATCTCCACCTCAATGGGGATCTTCTGCTCCTCTGGGATCTTCTCCTCTGATGAGCTGCGGTTGGACAGTTTGTCCATCTCTTCCTCCAACTCTGATATACGTTCAGCTACGCAGTGGGCGGTGAGTCGGGCCTCGGGGTCATGGTCCCAGCATTCTTTAATGGTAGCACAGATCACTGCAACACCCTGTGAGAGGAGGAGGAGAGGACAATAATTATAATTTGCTTCCAGCAGTTCGTTGCACATTTAAGTCGAGCCGTGGTTTTGGCCTGATTTACTGGACTACTGTCTTTGTCCAAGGAACTGTGCAAAAACCAGGTAGTTGACTGCAGTATGGCTGCTTCTGCAATGCCAGGTGAGACAGGTCCCTTTCAGCACAACAGCTCAACTGTCCCCCAGATGACCAATTATGTCACAAATCAAGACAACTTCAATTTTCTTCTCCCTCTCTTCTTCTGTCAAAGCTTTGTTTACCACTTAGCTTTCTTTGTGGTTATGCTCCTCAACTTCAGGATCAAAGCTTGGGATGTGCATGAAATCTGGAGCATGTGCAGAACGCTGAGGCCAGTATGGGTCACAATATGACATATACATTCAAGACAAATTGATTCACAGCTGCGTTATTATGTTATTTAAATGTCTCATAAAGGAAGCATTTTTTATGTTTTTTTTTTTGCTGTGCCCTCTTTGCTCTGCATGCTTCACTTTATTGTGCCAAACACGTTTTCATAAATGTAAATCTAGCTTTAGTTTTATGCACTAAGTTTAAACTGTACTGTTTTTGGATCTTTCAATGTTCAGTTTCATGCATAGCGTGTTTTACAAATATCTTTACCTGGTTGAAACATAACCTCATGAAACACGCTATCTGATTGGACACATGTATAGCCGAGGAACCAACTTAATAGCTAGGAGGATGAACCAAACCTCCAAACATGGAAACAAGGTGGAAGGTAACTCACCATGAGGAGAAAAAAAGAGGAGCAGGGTGGAGCGGGTTTAAAAGAAACAGCATGAGAAGTCATCAGACGGTAAAAGAGACGGGGAAAACTGACCACAGAAGCAGCTGCTGTGGAGACCACAGGCAGCTAGCCTCAAAATGTTGCATCCCTTAGAGTACTGGGGCACAGCTAAGAGGTTACAGAGAGTTTGGAGGTCTGAACTGACTCTGGGACACATAATGGGGGAAGCAGTTCGTTCAAGGGTTTGTTGTTTTTATGATTCAATCATGACCAATTGTTTTCAAAATTGTCATCTGAATATCAATGAGAGTAAATGTGATCACGCTTTTTGTCAATGCATAAACTACCAAATACTGTGAGTCATATGTATGTGGTTCATTGAAATGAAAGGAGATGATCCTGATTCTGAAATGATCCTGATGGTGTCTTTATGGTGAAAGTAGACCTTGTTTTGGAGTGAAGTTAATATATTTCACTGATAATCCACATAAAAAATGGATAACCAATTATAGTCACTGTTTTGACCATAGAGTGTTGCCATAGAGACCATGCAAGTGTCATCAGACCTCCTAAATGTAAGTTGGATGTTCTTCAGGTTGTGGTCTTTATTACCATGTCATCCTAGTTGACTTCTGACATTAATACTGTTAGATATTTAATCAAATGTTAATCATGACTCTCAGTCAAGGAAACTACAGTAAAGAGCTTCCTTCATGATTGGTTTAAAACACATCCAGTCTTTGGTCCTCTCTTTTCTGCTCTGTCACATGAGCATATGACAGTTTCATATCACTATTTCATGCTTTAAAAGGCTAATGGCGGTGGACTAAGTTACATTCCAATTTGCAGGTAATGCAGAAAAGTGATTTAGTTGCTGTCAGGAAGAAGCTAAAATTTTGGGGCAAAATTAAACATCAGGATAATTTACATCACTGAACTTCTTTACAAAACTATAATAAATGTGAGAGTGGTTACTTCTTAATAGCCATCAGCACTAGTTTTAAGTGTCTGCATGCTGGTATGTCAATGTGATTTCAGAGTTTGTCTGACCTGATGTGTAAGCCAGCTGTCTGGGATCTCAGGTCTGCCTCTGTCTCTCAGCACGTTGTCCTTCATGCTCTCCACACAGGGGTGCTCTCGTACCTTAGAGCCATATGCCGGCTCGTAGTCTTTCACCTCTGCAAGACACAATCACAACAGATCAGATATGAACTGCAACTGATTTACAAATGCAGAAGTACTTTTTTGTCAATGTCATGCTGCTGGCATCATCATGTTTCTGTCACTTACAAAACTCCCTGAAAAAGATGTAAAAATGAAATGATTATCAAACCAAAAAAACAGCTCAGATATCATAACTTGCTTTGTGAAAGAATTGTGGTTAAAATAAGAGGAAGGTGAAGTGAAACAGGTGGCCTGATGGGTTAATGTGATTTGAAAGTGCTAACATCCGGATATGACAACATTCAGCTCCAACCCACTGAGTTGTTTTTCCCCCGAAGATGTTAGAGTTTTGGGCACCAATACTGCAGGACATCAAGAGGGAAAATGCTCACTCTAAATGTTTGTAAAAGCACCAACTCAGCATCCATTAATGGTCAATTAGTCATAATCTGAAGTAACCCCCCCCCGTTTTTTTTTTTTTTTTTTTTTTTATTGCATGTTAAAGCACCAGAAGAGAGGGGCTAACACTGAAAACATGAAAAATGAAAAACAAAGTTCTGGGATTGGATCCAGATCTCATGAAACTGAACTCACAACAGCTGCAGTCTGTCTTCAGCCCAAAAGAGAAAGCTCTCAGGATCTCACAGTTACTGTGAAATGAGACACGAGCGCAGCAAAGTACCCTTCCTCTACCCATCGGGGCCAGAGACTCACATGCAGTCACAGCATAATTTTCTACTCTAATCTTTATATCTTTGTCCTGTATTTTCCAACCTGCTAAACACTGATCACTTTCCACCTTTGTGTGCAGGTTAGGTTTAACAAATTTAGCAGCATCTGACATTTTCTTTTAATAATTAACTTCATGCTCACTGCTGCAAGGTCAGGTTTAATTTAACTTAACTTTTACTCTTTAACTTATGCTGGTCCTCCCCCATATGCTACTTGCAGCAATTTTTAGTCACATACAAATTTCCAAAGTTTGATTAAATCACAAGTTCTGCAAAAGTTGGAGCGTGCTACTTTCATCAAGGTTGTGTGGTATATGGTGGTCTTCAAACTCAATCTAGGCTTCTTGGAGTCATTTTCTTCTAACATTAAAATCATGCTTGTGTGATGTTATTGCAGATGATGTTATTGCATATCCTGTCTTCTTTACACTGTGTTGTTCAATAGCATCAATGATTCAACAACAAATAGGTACACCTCTGCAAGCACCTAACAGGGAGCTGTAAACTAGCCAAACAAACATATGAGAGAGGCACAAGAATATCTAGTTCTGTTTGACTGGACTGTGAAAAATAAGGAGAAACCTGAGGGTTTGAAACAAAACAATATACTCTGTTTACCTCATGACAGAGTAAGAGAGAAAAAATGGGCAGACATTGCTGCGGCCCCAGCACTATAGCTAGCTTCAACTATACCCTCAGAAAAGGGCTGACAAATCTACTTGTGGTTTTGACAAGATTTTGCCCAACAACAACATCCCCTGTCTTTGCAAAATCTCCAGCCAGCAAGTAAACTTGGTGGCAAAATGTCTGTATGATCAGAAGACTGATCACAAAGACATTTAAGAAAACAGACTGTCTGACAGCCTCTATGGTGCACCAACTAGCCAGAGTGGGGGATCCTGAGGACCACCTTCTACAAAAAAAAAAAAAAAACAGACTGATTTCTAATTTTTTTAAGCTGAGTGAAAAAGTTGATGAAGTTGCCATGGAAATGAAAACCACTGGTTCATATGCCCGTGGTTTTTGAAGATCACAGGAGCCTGTCCTGACTTCAGCAAAACTCCCATGATTTAACAACTTTGGGATTTGGCTTTGTATGTAGAACTGCATAAATAGTCATGTTAAGTACATACATTTATTTTTCTGGAAAAAATGTTAACATGCTTATTGTTTCAAAAGCTACAAAGCTAAAGGCAGCAGCTTCTAACACTTTGAGCCTGTGCTGTGTTTTACAAACTAAAGCCCAAACGGGTCTGTGATGGCCAAGAAAGGCACTGAACCAACGGTGAAAGGTTCACATAACTTTTTATTCTCAGACTGGTTGGACTGTGGCCTCCAGGGAGCTGTTAAATGAACTTTGTCAGTCCACCTGCTGAAGAGGATCATGTGAGATCATCAAACACTCGCTCAGCTTTTTTTCTTTGGGACAGTGTGAAGAAATCTAGGAAAAGCTGTGGTGGTTAAGTTTCACTCAGGTTCCTGCAGTCCCTGCTGCTGCATCCTCAAACACCGGACGTGGGGAGATCGGAGTGGAACCCCCAGACAGGAAGGTGGAGGGCCAGGATCAGGATCAGGACTGTGTGCTGAGAAGCTGACTCCACAGGCCTCTACTTCCTGTTTTTTACATGTGGAACTTCCCTCGTTTTTGGTATTTAAAACAAGACCTAGCCGGCCCGGCCCATTCCCCAGGAGAGACCTTATTTATGCCAGCCAGGACCAGTATTGTCCGCAGCTCTCTGCTTTTTAGATCTCCTGCTGTGAGGCTGGTATAAATACCACACATTTTCCTGGACTGGGTACAGCTGAAATGCAGAACAGCAAAGAGCGAGGAAACCCAAAATGAAAAAGAACAGAAATAAAAGAGGTGGAGCAGCCCTTGAATATAAGGAATAACTGATTGGAAGAGGTTTCATTCATGCTCTGAAGCAGATTTGGCTCCTCCAGCCTACACTTGTCTCCTTGTTTCAGGCTGATATTTTGAAGACAAAAAAGTGGTCTGCTCCTGGCCTGCTCCTCCATAACAGCTCTGGACATTTAGAAGTTATGAGAAGAATTTCATCCGTGGTTCGAGAACAGATTTCACAAGAGGCTGCAACCAGAGCCTCAGTCTCACTTTCCCTCACTGTCTGGGGCCTGTAGTTAAAATCTGGTATATCCAATCCAAGGGGCGGAAAGTGGTTTACGACAGTTTCCTTTTCAGATTATCTGTCTGAAACCTTTGTGGCCTGGAGGTTAGCAGAAACCTCTGTGGCTGTCTGTGCTGTCTGGGATCTGAAATCTTAAACGAAACACAGCATCAGAGACCTCAGTCTCTCCACAGGCGTACAACATGAGACTGATCCCACACAGCTGTAAAACAAACTACAGAAGAAGACGAAGTAAACCAGCATGAACTCTAAAGGACCACGCCCACTGATCAAAATAAAACCTCTCCACACACCTCAGGAGAGAGTTATTGGCTCACAGCTGCACGTTTGTGGTGAGCACATTAGGGTGCTGTGAAAGTGTGTCATCAGTGCAGTTTGAGATGTTTCGGTTTGGCTTAAAGAAGACAGAGGAAGAGAGGAGACACCAGCCAGAATCAGAGGGCTGTATGACAAAGGAAGTTCAATAGACTTGGATACAGTTAGCTTCCTAAACTAAAGCAAGGCCCAGCTTGACAGTCACCTAAAGAGGTAATCAAACCAGGACTGACCACAGGCATGAACGAGTCAGCCTTTCTAAGAGCCAACTCTGACATGAGAAATACATTTAAATGCACACTTTAGTAAAATCATGTCAGAGTTGTATTTCTGCAGCAGATTAAACAACAGGAAGGAAAGAAATCCCAGACCATCATGGCTTATATTTCTGTCCTGTTGCACACAAAAGGTTTGGTTATTTTATCTCAATTTGCCCACTTTTAGGAATTTCACACAAAGACATTTAGGAGATTTTACTCCAGCAACAGAGTACTGACTGCTGTGCATGCAGCCTGAGTCTGTGTGGGTCTGTGTGTCTTGGGACTGCAGAATGTAAACCTACATGCATCATGCAAATGCATGATGATACATCAGATATATGCATGATGAGCTTACAAACCGCTCATGGGACCACAGAGTATTTACTTTCGGTTGCTACACCTGCAGTGGATGCACACAAGAAGACAGTAAAAAAAATGTCAGGAATTCTTAAATTATTGATTACATGCCAATCAACTGCTTTGCTCTATTATTATAGTTAAAGTAAAGTAGTGCTCCACTTATACTCTCTTCTCCTCTTGTCTCTGTGCTCGAGTCTAGAAGATTGGAGCTGATGCACAAGTGCTAAAAACTACAATACCTGCTTCAGGCTGTCTGCATAAACATTAAAAACCACGTAGACACAAGGCCAAAAAAAGCTTTTTTTGAGCAAAAATGAATATGTTTACAGGCGGATTAACATAATATTGCAACATTTACTGCAGAAAGAAAAAAAGGACCACTGTATCATTTTTCTCCTAAATTGTGCAGCCCAAAGGTCACCCATTTATACCACATTTACACACAGATAAAAGACGTGGCTATTTGAGGTGCTCATCAGTATCAACCAATCCCATGTGTTCACACAGCGCTGGCTTTACCACTGGGGGAATTTGAGGTTCAGTGTTTTCAAATGGATACCAGAAGATGGGATTAAACTACAAACCGTCAGAATGAAAGTTTACTGACTACCACTGAGCCACAGCCACCACATTGAACACTTACTGACATTTCAAAACACAAATGTGACTTTGACAAGTTGTGGGTAAGAGTTGAGTTGCGTGCTGGAGGTGTTTAATTGTGACTACACTCAGAAACATATTATATCAAGAAGGAATATAAGTGTTTCTCTTTATGTTGAAAATGCTTCTTTAACTTGTAAAACCTCTTCTGTCTCTCTGCCTTTACCCCAGCCAGTTAAAACCACACCCCCAGCCAGCTGGTACCAAAAACCGTCTCATTCACGAGCCTCAGACAGAACAGGCAGAACCCGCCGCACCCTCCAGGCTAATTCGGGACATGTAAATAAAATGCTCAGAGACTCACTGAAGTTGTACTATAACTGACCACAACAACAATGCCAGCACAGGGTAGTATTTCTATCCACCATTCTCTACCCTGTTGTTGGGGTGGAGACAGAGGAGACACACACACACACACACACACACACACACACATACAGCGTTCAAAGTGAGACAGACACAGGGCGAGATGAGGGCGTCTGTCGGGCCGTCCATCTCTCTTCCTCTATTTCTATGAAGCTGTCTCTGAAATAAACACACAGACAAACACACAGATGCTGGAATGTGGCTGTCTGGTTCTAAATGTCTCAAAGAGTCCAGAAAAAAAACAGCCAGCCAGGGGATCAAGGTGGGGCTGACAGCCCTACTGCTCTTCTGCTCTTAGGAGAGTAGTTCAGGGGAACCACAGGAGGTTTTGAACTTTGGGTAAAAATGTATCCCACTGATGCTGATTTCATAGTGCCTTTACTTCAATTATAAATTTATGAAATATTGTATCATTAATCATATCAAACAGGCACAGCATTTGTTTGAGCTCAGACAAGAAAACAAAACAAAAAAAACCCTCTCTGAAACCTGTAAATTTCTGTTTGAATCAAGCTGCAATCTCCGGTCTGAGAGAAATTAAACCAATGCAGAGGGAGGAAACTGCAGTTCCACAGAAGTCCGGTTAGATCCAAAAGCCAAGAGAGCACAAACATACCTTTTCTTAGAAGCTTAGCTTTACAGCAAAGATAAATGTTTACTGGTCAAAAAAAAAAAAAATTGTATAATCAGGTACACAGCAAATAAGTTAGTGCTACCCCATTAAGGGCCTTAAAGGGCAGCAACAACATTTTAAAACCATCCAGTGACAGATGAGAGTGTAAATAGTGTGAGGGGTGTGATCATAGTCTCCCTTTTTCTTTCCATACAAAGAATTATACGAGTGAGGACGAGGTGTTAGAGCAGCATGTATCACTCTCTCAAATTTATCAGGAGCAAGACCGGCTTCTACTTTAGTCTTCAGTAAAAGGAGCTGACTTAACAATTGTCTTGATTTGGCTTGATTTGAGGGCCTGTGGGGTGCTGGTTCAAGCCTCAGTATGGACCAAATCTGGTAGTTGGGCTAATAGCTGAGCAGGTGCCGGCTCATCTGGACACTGGTGAGGTGACCTTGCTCAAGACACTTAAGCCCTAATGGCATGGGGCTCTGGCCCACGTGCAGCCCCCTCACTCTGACATCTATCTCTGATAGTGCTTCTTTATAGGACCCTGTTTTTGCATGTGTGTGTATTCCAGTCTCTCTGTGTGTAATGTGACTCAACTCCAGAGAGGAAAATACCAGGGGTAATAATGCATTAGATTGTCAGTATTCTCCTGTTCTTCCTTAAAATAGAAATACTTGTTGCACCTGAACACACATTGGTGGGTCAGGAGTAACTTTGTTGCACACTCCACAGCTAGTCATGCACACAGACTTACCCTCACTCTAACCCAAGGAGGAAAGATCTCCTTGCTTTAGTTTTCCTGCTCTTCTGTGAACGTTTCCCCTCATGACCACAGACACTTGCACACTCTCACTCACACATGCACAGGCAGCTATAACAGGTACAGTAGCCACTGTTGCTGTCTCTCCCTGATTTCCTGCCCAAAGAAGGGCAACAGCAGATTGTCTCCTTCACATATCAGACATTCCTCAGATTCCGGCTGCAGACCTGGAGCTGAGGTCGAGGTGCTGTCTGACAGACACGACCATCAGACTCACTGTTGACACTTAACACCCCCCACCCCCTATCACTGCATAACTAAAACTGAAGCTGAACCTCTTGTCTGCAGGATGTGGGTCACAGACCTTCAAAGTGGAAAAACAATCACAGCAGAATAAAAAAGGTGAAGAATGATAGCAATGATGCACAGAATCAGAGGTGAACTCATCAGTGTTTGTCTGATTTGCTTTAGATGGAGATTTTCTGGTGTCAAAAGAGGCAGAGTCTGACTGAGTACATTAGAGCTGCAGAACCGCTGTTATCCACATCATGTGTTTTTTAATTCTGTATACAATGCTGCCAGGCTGACCTGTGTCTGTACCTAGACTGGATGTCTGTTATTAGCATGCATTGAACTGTGTTCCTCTTTATCTTATGAGTCTAAATGTGCTAAAAGCATGTGAGCAAGCGTCAGCAGTGACCTCAGAACGATCACGTTGTTCCCTGTTGGAGTGTTTGAACCGTGTTGAGCGGCGACCTGTTTTCATCCTGTTGGCCTCTTAGTGTTTTCAAACCAAGAAGTGAAGAAAAGAAGATTTACCTCCTGAAAGTCACGGCCTCATTATTTATCCATTCAAAAATTTGTTTAAAAGCAGGACATGTTACATTTGTACATTTTATGCTTATGGCTGGTGTGATTAAGATCAAGCTAAAATAACCTTCACAGAGTTTAGGAGTCTTGAGATTTGAATAATTGGATCATACTCTTACTGATGCCATCTTCCTCTTACATCACACTCTAATATATTACCACTATATTGCAGGCTGTAAGTTGTTTAAACGCCAATTTTCTGACAAATTCTGGTCATTTCACCGCTCCATGATTAATAATAAGTCAAAAAGACAAAACATTGTAAAAATCTGCCCTTTTGTCAAGTTGAAAAGACAAATTTGACAGTAAAATAATCAGTTTTCTTCTTTTATTGCATTTGTTGTTTTTAATTGCTTCTAATTGTTAACTAAGAAGTGGCTGGCATAAGCTCTGTTATCTGTGTTGTGATTTTCAGTCACAAATGGCATGATCTCGCTCCTGATTCTCACTATCTAATGTCCCTGTGGGTTCCTCTTTAACAGGGATCTGTACATGATGACAGTTTGTCAGATTTTTCAGGTTTATATGATGAAGATAGTCCATTGCAGTTCTGTGGTTTCTCTTACTAACAGCTGATGGGAGTTTTAAGTGGTTTTAGCACATAAATTCACAAACTGCTGCTGCAGCTACAAACTCCAACAGGCTGTGTTGTTGTAATAACTCTGTGCAAATGATGTGTTGTGACTCATCCCACTAATCTACTTACCGACACGATACATTAGACTCTTTAAACCAGTATGTGGCCTTGTGTTACACACCACATTTCCCACATCCCTAAATATTAAACTAGTTGATATACCGACATGTACTGACCTCCAACAGCTTCACATCTGGACGTCATCTCCCAAAGCACCAGGGCCATGGAGTAAATGTCGGTCTGTTTGAAAGACTCCATGTTCTCCAGATTCAGTCGGGCCTCCAGCACCTCAGGAGCCATGTATCGCGCTGTACCCACCTGAAGTACAAAGAGAAAATAATTCACCACAGTCACAGGGACAAGACTCACCTCCTGGATTCATATGTTGTTACCACAGACCGCCAAACTCATAACCTTAAACATAGCGAATGAGCCTGAGAACAGATAAAGAATTACGCCATTCAGACCAAACTTATTTTCAATATCAGGCTGTTCACATGTCTATGCCTGCTGTAAGGATTGGTTTTATTAAGGTTTGTGTACATGGTTTTCTAGCTCTTGGAACCAGCCATAAGTAGACACTTGAGGAACTGCAGTTTTAGCACCTCAGCATGAGCTTCATTCTTAAAGGCTGGAGCTCGCTGCTCGGTTGTTGCATACAAGATCGAATCAGATAAAAGACAAAATTTGCCATTTTCTTTTGTAGTTATTGAAGGGGTTGTTGGGTGTAAACACATGTGAACTAATCTAATGATGCTAAATCTAAAGGTGCATATCAAAAGTTTCCAAGTTGCTGTTAAGCTGCCGTGTTTCGGTAACCTGCAGACGAGTTCCTTGTTTCATATTTCTGGACTTTCCAAAAAAACATCAAACAACAAAGACACTTAATTTCTGTTTTACTTGTCACATGTTAGTCTCAATTTTTGACAATGAAAACACAGATCAAGTTACACATGCTAGGTCCTGTCTGCAGGCAAAATGTACTTCACAATGTCCAAAATCTAAAGCTTATCAATCAATATCAAACATAGCTTATCAATCTCCAGAAACTTCAAAATGGAACCTACAGGGGCTTCATTTGGGTTGGGTGGGCTTTTCTGTAAATGGGCTTTGGTGTAGCACCCACACAGGCAACCAAAAATACAGCATATTGAGTAAAAATGGGTTTAAACAACAAAGTTGATATTGAAAGGGTCATTTAAACCTAAGTTATGGTGTTAAAGTCAAGTTGAGCTCGAATTTAGCTTTTCAATTTTGCACATCTTGGGTGATCAGTTTCTGCCGACATCAAGGATTCTGAATTAGAAGAAAACAGCTGATAATGTCACACGGTATACGGGAAATACCTTAGCTGCTTGTTTTAAGTGATGTTTTTGCATGACTCCGTATCAATCTGCATACCAGTGCCTGATGTTAGCAACCCTTCATGTCAGAATCAGAAAATTTGATAAAAGTTGTCAGAAAAGTTGGGAACCAAAATAACAAATTATCTAACAGGACCACTTTGACTAAGACTAAATAAGTCTTGATAGGCACTTAACCTTAGTTTGCAGCATTACATAACTGTGGCTCAACACAAAATGACAAAGAAACTTGCTGGCTAAGTCTGCAAAATGGTGCTGACATAATACCTGTGACTTTCTTCTTGCAGGAAAAATGTGCAGCTGAGTTTACATCCTCTTTTTAGCTAGACTGCATCAACACACACCAGCTTCAGTTTCTAGTCACTAATTTAGATTAAAATAATAACTATGGATCATTATTTGGAAATGCATTGCAAGATTGTTTGCATGTGCTGCATGGACCTGTACATAGATGTGTGTCTATGCGTGAGTACACAGCAGTTTGAGTGAATAAAGGGGTTAAAGGTGTCTAACTGAAAGTCCCCACAGTCTCACCTGTCCCTAACAGAGGATGTGATATAAAATAAACTAAAAGTTGTTTGAGGAATTAACATGATTAAATGAAGCCCGTTTTAACCACGCCCTCATCCTTTTATCACCTGTCTGTATCTGTCAGGTTTCCTCTGATTCTCTGATTCCCATCAAAACACATGAACACACAGAGGACCCGGCTGAAGGACGAAAAAACAAATACAGTCAGTTCATATCCCATCCAAAAAATACCAAAACAGAGCTGCTTCTATTACAGCAAACACTTCTTTTACCAACTTCGCTTTTTCTGCCAATACATCTCACACATGACAGCAGAACTTTGATTTGAGACTACAGAGAGTCCAAGTCATGGGAGTCTTTGACAGGGTCACATTTAAGTTATTAATCCAAGCACTGCACCTTCTGTAGTTTTTGCTATGACTTTTTGTTCATTATTGTCCTCTTCTGTACTTCTACTCCTTATATTTCAGTGTGCTTTTTACATCCATATCCCTGTAATCAAAGCAAGCAACTCTTTAAACTAACTAAATGACCACATTGTCGTTTGTCCCTCCCCCGTTATTTTCTGTACTGTCAAATCACACTTTTATTTTGAAAAACACAATTTCACACAGATCGCTTTTTGGTAATCTTAAGATCTGCCAGCTGTAACATTGTTTTTAGATTCATAATGAATCTTTGAATGTCACTTTTTAAGTGTTCAATCATCTCTCTGAGGAACTTTACAGCGAGTTTATAGACAGTCTGCTACTTTTTCTTCTTCGTCTCTCTTCCGATGAAAGACGTGTGGCAGTCAACCTAAAGGACCACTTCTACAATGCTGACATTTCAAATCTAGAGGACTGAAGACTAAACCTTAGTGCCATGACTTTTGAGTCAGTATCAGGATAAAATCTAGTTTAAAAAAAGAGATTCAGAAAAATGATCCATTGAATTAGAGAGGATACCTGTCCGCTGTTGGCCAAGTCATCCACTGACAGGCTACTGTCCAGACTCAGTCCCAGCCCAAAGTCACACAGGCAGCAGGTCAGGTCATTCTTCACCAGGATGTTGGAGCTCTTCAGGTCTCGATGGACTATGGCCACCTTTAGGTACAAAAGAAGAGAGCTCTCAGCTCAGAACATGTAGACACATGTAATACCCTCGAGATGTTATTTTTATCATTCCTCCCTGTGGCTATTGAGACAGTGACAGCAATTGTCATTTGGGTTGTAGGAAAATTGGTTCATGTCAGATTTGCAGTTCTTAATATCTACTTTATGAACCCAATTTGAAAAGTCAAACATTTTGTTTGTGAATATGTTTTTGTTTCACTAGGAGCCAATTTATACTTCGGAAACCTGCTGTAGACAGTGTTTTTTATCCACCAACAGGGTATGTCCTGGGCAGCTGCCATCATTAACATGCTCGCTACTGCTGTCCCTATTTTGTGTAGCAGTGAGAAAATTGGTCTGATGAGAATGCTGATGTTTGGGCACTCTTTTGATACTGCAGTCCACTGGATATAAACAGGCTTGATGTAACAATCTCCATTTGCAAAGTGAGAAAGTTAGGCTGAAGTCATATGCCAGCGCCTAAAGTTTAAAGAAAGGGAACAGTTGATTCATGCACACTACACAACTACCCTGCTTTAGCAAAAAGACGATCATAATATATCGCCTGTTTCATTTGGACAGACCTTCAACCCTTCATGCTCACAGCCAGAGTGTATCCTCTACTGCCACTGGGGACCGGTTCAGTGAATGATTCTGACTCTGAAGCATTTGAAATAAAGACCCCAGTAAATACAGAGTCAGCTAGCCAAAGTCTTCCATGAATTATGTAAGTATGTATTTCATGTCTATACTCAACTTTTTGCTCTTAAAATATTTCATTAAGTCACTAAAAACTGAGGTTTGAAAAAGATTCATACTGCAAGTTTAGCAAAAATATAACCCTTTGTCTCAGTGTTGGCAGGGTGTATTTTCATAATTGCTCTCTTGATTACAAAAGTTGCATTAACTAAAACACATTTTCCCTTTTGTCAGTGGTATATCGTATTATAACTAATAATTACATCCTGTAATTAGCATATCTGTGGAACAAAAGACAGTTGTGAATTGGTTTGACTCGATAATTGATTTTGAATTAAATAAAGGGGTCAGAATTTAAATATATTAGTTGTGAGATATTAAAGGATTTACACCTATAATCATCATAGTTGTTTTAAATGATAAGCCCCAGTATGAAGTTCTTCAGCTGTCACATGGTTATAATCACTCTGTCCTACCTTTGGGCGTCCACAGGGGAGGCGGTCACTATGGAGGTGGGCGACACCCCGGGCCAATGAGCTTCCCAGCACCTGCAGCTCCTCCCAGCTGATCACACTACGGGTCAAGTGCTCCTGGAGGGCAAAGGGATGTAAGAAATGGTGTAGGTAGATATGACAAGGTTGATAATGACATAAATACTGCTGTATGCACAGTAAAGCTCATCTTCATAGAGTTACACAGGCCCACTCATGTTGGGTTACCTGATAGTGCTGCTCTCACCTGTAGGTTTCCTCTGGAGTGGAAGGCGGTGATGAGCCAGTACTGTTTCTCCACCTTCCTCTCCTCAGCTGTGAGGAAGTGGAGGATGTTCTCGTGTCTGAGGTCTGTGTTGGAGAAGATGTCCTTCTCGTTCTTCCAGGAAGCGTACTCCTCATAGGGGAAAATCTTAACAGCCACAGTCTCAAACTGATCTGAGGTTGTCTGCTTCAGTTTGGCCTTGTATACCTGAGCAAAGCGACCTTTTCCTACCTGTAACAGGAAACAAACACTGGTCAGACCTTGATCAGGATTTCAGAGAAGAGCAGCTCCACACAACAGGTGTAGGTCTGCTTACCAGCAGGTCCAGCTCTATAGGCAGCGGCTCAGTGTTGTGGTTCAGGTTATTGGCGTGCGTCGAACTGCTGTCAGACCTGTCATCATCCATCATGATGGCACAGGCGTCACTGCAGTCCAGACCAGGTTTTGGTTTCCGCTTCTTGACGTTGCTCTCCCATTCTCTGTTGTGCATGCGCTGCCGATGAGCTCTGTACCAGTAGAACATCCCCACGACTACGATTCCCATGACCACCAGAGGCAGCAGGCTCACCAGAATCACAGACACCAATTGGACCTCTTCGGTTGGATCCACTTCTGTAAAGCAAGGCAGAGTACAACATTCAATAGGATGTTCAGAGGTTCATAAAAAACACACGACCCTTGATAAAACAGAGATGCAAACAGGATTTACACTGAACCCCATGACCATATACAGTGAGCCCACACACTGGGGGTAATCCCAGCAGCACTTACTGCATAACAGAGTAAAAAATTCCCCATCTAAGCATTAAACAGCCTGCGGGTTCTCTGGAACATCAACACTTTGAACTAGGTTGTAGAAATCATATGTGAGGATGTGTGTAACAGAGGCTGTGCTGATTGAGGTAACAGCCAGAATAATGACTCATAACTGTTTGCTGTCAAGCCACTTTGCAGCTTGTTCTTGCTACCTGTGGGTAGTGGGCAAACATACCCAGAAGTGTTATTTTTTTTTTTACTGTACCAGCCACAACAGGTACAAGTGCTCCATTTGAAAACAGGGATGGCAGTCATTTTTTAAACTGTTTGAAGCAAACAAAGACTTTCAAACTACTGTGCTTATGTGAACTCAAACACCTCTCTGACTGTGTATACCATAAATGTGCACATTATCCAAACCTGGATGTCAGTGTGGTAAACTTTGGTGGTATTAATGCTCATTTTCATTACAGCCAATGTGCTTTAACGCCACATCAGTATTACTTTAACATCTCTTGATTATTGCAGCATTTTAGAAGTAAAATCATATCCTTGACAAAGCCCCCAAAACTGCTGATGCATGTGTTTAAACCACGATTGAATAAACTGGTTGTTTTTCAGTTGGAGGTCAGCGAATATCTGACCTTTGTTCATGATGCAAGCCACAGGTGACGTGGTTTGAGTGTTTCTTCCTGTAGAGCAGCCGTGCATATTCAAAAGAAACTGCAAACCCACTTATCAAGATGTTTAAGCCACAAAGTGTTACACTCAACTGGAGCTTACTGCTGCTACGACCTTTCTCTGTAATATTAACTTTCAAATAAAAGGAAAAAGAGGACACAGGGTTAAAAAGTGTTATTTTCATTTAGCATGTTTACATGTTGTTCAATCATTGAATTATTGAATTAGAACGACTGGATCTGGACTTTTCAATTATATTTAAACAGGAGAGTACATTAACAGGAACCTCTCATGGTTGGACAAACAAACCTAGATATACAGTTAGGAATATATTTCCTCTTGCATATACAGGCCTCAGTTAGACTAAAACTGAACAGCACAAATGCATTGCTAGAAAGTTGGCTGGCGAAAAAAATCTCTGAAGGAGAAAAAGAAGAAGATAATGAACAAGGAGGAGAAGAAGAAGAAAAAGAAGAAGATGAAGAAGAAAAGGGGATGTTAAGAAAAGACAAAGTTGTTGTGTTGTTTGGTTAACAGGTACAGAGCTGTAGTTAATGTTTTCATAGTTCTACATACATCCTGTTGCTAAGGGGTTTGTTGGTTGTTTTGGTCCATGATGTCATAGGTCAAATGAGAGATGAGCTGAAAGGGGGCATGTCCCCACCTACTGCAGTGGAGGCAGACATACTTACTTAGTTAATATTGATTATTGCCTGGTGCTTGTCAATAGAGTAGTCCAATCAAATCCCCTTGCACATGTACACAAACTGATAGCTTAAGCCCCTCAGTGTTTGTAAACTGAATATGACATTATGACAGTCATGACAAATATTTTTGTTCCACAAAGCTTGTGTGGTTAAAGGAGAGAGAGAGTGAGATGAAGCTGATCCAAAAATAAAAAATAAAAAACATGCCCACACTTCCTTACCAATCAACCATGCTAAAGACTAGATCCTGATTGTTTGGTCCACCATCTCAACAGTAAACTGACAGAAAGTGAAGGCAGCGCAGTTCTCTGGTCTCTGAAGGACACACTGCTTAACCTGTGTGTTTTGGGTGATGCATGCAGCAGCAGCAAACTGCAATTTCCTCCCACTACTCACTTAGCCACAGTCCAATACAAGCACGCCCACCACAGGGAGGTCATTCTAGAGAGCTGCACTATAAACACAGCCCGCTGTTCCTCACTCCATACACGGCTGTAAATCCTGTTCTTTTCATTGTTACTCTGAGTTTTTCTGTATCTGTATAAGTGTGTGATCTCAGTAAGTAGCTGACTGTGCACTCAGTGGAAAGTGGTGGACACTGCCAACAGTGTGAGCAGCCTTTATGGCTTCATGAGCTATAGCATTAACTACCTCCTCAAACTCTGACTGCCAGCCTGGACAGGGCAGCAGCCAACCCTCAGAGCTCCAGCGTCAGGGAGAAAACAGTCAAGAGCCTGTCTGGCCCGGCCTGGCCCATCTCAGCATGGTCTGCTCTGGCTGGCTCCCTTTTCAAAGAGCGTCTCATTGAGTCTCTTAGGGGAACATTATCCCTTTGAGCGAAGCTGCTGCACTGAGTGAAAGAGCTCAGGCCAAGGACTGACCACTGAAGAAGTCGCACCACCCTGCGTCTGGTCTGCATTCAGAATTTCCACAGAAGAAGGGCCCATGACTGAATGCTGCGAAGCCCCACAAAGGCTCCACAGGTAATCAGACATTGTTACAGTTTTTTAAAATATTTGAAAATGAATGAAAAGCTATGATCATCTCATCAGATCTAGTTTCCCATAACAATTGATATAACAGGAAACTTCAACTCTCTAAATTATTATATGTCACTATTATAATTCTTTATTATTTATTATTTCTCTGTCTAGAAACCCAGAGCATGCATAAAACAATGCTACAGGATGAGAGTGCACAGCGCAGCTCTGCACAGCAGATGGTGGGGGCAAATAATGAGCAGGTCTTGGTGCAATGAGCAGCTGAGGATCCTTCTTATTGAATTCAGTCCTGAGTGTTGTTCAGTGTGTTTTGAAGATGTTGTAGTTACTTTTTGGTCAAGCTAGCCATCCATGTTGCAAACTCTAATTATTTGTTCACATTGTTTTTTTCCAATTTGGAGCAGCTTTGGGTGTGACAACTTCTTGAAGATATAGATAATGGTACAACACGCCTGTTTGGCTAGTCTTGCAATGCCACCATGAAGCAGCAAAGACTAACAACTATGTGAAACAAACACTTAGTGACAATCTTAGTCATGCCAACACTTGATCTAGTGTCTATAAAACATGTATGCTGAGGGCTGTTGCTATTTTAATCAGCCAAAAGCACAAACTCTCATATAATTACACAGCTACAAAACTTTTAAAATAGTCTCTCTCTCTCATGCTTCAGACTCTGTATTTAGAGAAACTATTGCATTCAAATCTATCATGATCTGTGATGCTGTCTGTGATGTTAAGTTGAAATATTTACAGTGAAATAAATAAGATCTTCATTTTGTGATTGTGCGGCAGTGTCTGTGTGTGAGTGTTCGACAGTAAATCTTTCTGAGAGTGCTTTGGTGAAGCTGCGGATACCGTCAATCAAAATCACTCACCAAAGAGCGCACATGAACATTTTTAGATTTGAAACAACTTCAAAGTGTGGCAGTAAATCTGGTTGTGAACGAGACTGTCAGACAGTTAGACGCTGCTGCTTTAAGGCCAGGTGTCTACTCATGTGTGTACACTTCAAAGTTTTTAAAGATTGCGTAAAGGTTTTTTAGGGTCTCAGGTTTGTTTCCTGGCTTTGCGTGTATTTGAGGCTGAAACATGGCTGCAAACAGGACTCATGTTGCCTTTTCCAATCAGGATGCCAGTGTGTTCTCATGCAGGGTTCAGTGAGGTTTGACACATCATTCAGACTAATGGAGGAATCCTTGCCTCTGGCTTGTTACTACACATGTAATCAGTGTGAGTGTACTGCGTGTGTGTGTGTGTGTGTGTGTGTGTGTGTGTGTGTGTGTTTTTCATGTCCTGCCATCTCTGACTCACTCTCTTAATGCTCTAACCGCTTGCTAATTACTTGGATCCTTACAGCGTTTGGTGAATAATAAAGCTGTGAGTTGGATATTAAAGAGGAACTTTGCGCTCGGAAAATGACAGAGCCAGACATGATTTCATGCTCCAAACAGGTGATGGTCCAATAGATGGAAGCCATTATAAACAGTGAGGCTGTTGAAACACACTTCTAACATCTCTTCAATGTGCCAGTTTGTCTCCTGTTCTAGTCAAATGTTTCTAATGAGGCTTTAAATGTCATAACTTACAGGAGCTTGATCACACTTAAACTCTTAAAGCCTGACACTTTTTCTGATCTTTAGGTTTACGGATCACTTGCTGGCATCATAGAAAGAAAAAACAGAAAAAAACTAATTTAGATGTTAAAATGTCAGACATCCTTGCATATTTCTGTGTTTATTGAGCAGCTACAACCCTGTGCGTCACCAGCAGATCTGAGGGAGTCTAACTGTAACAGTGAAATGGAGACGATAACCACTAACAGGTGAAGGGTGATGTCATGTCTAACACATGATAGCTTTATGATGGTATGTAGAATGTATGATAGTATGATAAGACACTGCCATACCTGCCTTCAAGAGACTTGGACTTCTTATCAAGTCAGTCGTAAATTCATAAACCTAAACAGTAAAAAGAGGCTTAACCTGTGATTACAAGATAAACAAAGTAAAGCTGTTTTATCTTACTAGTGAGGCAAAAGACAGAAATCAAAGTTGCACTCTCGGCTCCAGTGTTAGGGAACTGAACTGACCTGACCATTAGCTTTATTTTTCCTTGGACAGCATTTTAAAACATGCAATGGTCTTTGAGTTGGGGTCTTCACTTTAAAAGATCTGTATTGTTCACAACAGTGACTGTACTCGCCACTGAGGTCAGACAACTACTGCAACTACTCACAACTACTGCAACCGAGGGGATGAAAGATGGAGAGAGACTCACACCCCGTTAAATTGACCCGCCAACATGGCTGCATGGGTGATGGGAGAAATAAAACTCAGCCAGGTGAGGACTACATTTAAAGTAAGTGTGTTGAATAAACAAACGTGGGACTGCAAAATTCATGCTGTGGCAGGCTGTGACATAGATTTGAACCAATACACAAAAGGGGCATGGACTTGATATTTACCCATGCTAAAGGTCTGAGGAAGTCTAGTGCTGGTCTTTCACATGTCTGCTTTAAAAAAGGGGGTCCAAGGTCAAAGAAAGTGGCACTTCAATCTGACATATTTTGTAGAATTTCAAAAGGCGTTGGAAAGTGACACCTTGTTTTATGTGATGTTTCTTTTCATCTTGTCTGTCCACCATTCTCATCAAACTTGTTTTCTGCAGCATCACTGACTGATGTGCAAATTAGAAGATGACATTTTTCGGAAGCCAACATTCTTGACCACGCTAGCAACACAAAAGAACTACAACAGTGGTTTGACTTCCTGTCACCACTGGAAGTGAAAAGCGACTCTGCGGGTGTCGCCGGGAGCAACTGCCGCTCCGAGTCGGCTGCCCCTTTATTTATGCATATTTTGCACTGCACTTTTACCTAAAATAAAAGAAATGCAACGTTTTTTCAACATGTTTGGTTTTATTCAAATGGGAGCCGGACAGGAGTGGGAGTAATTCTGAGTGGGAGCGGGATAGGAGTGGGAGTCATTCTACGGGAGTGGGACAGGACAGGATTAATTTTTTTACTCTGGTCCAGGATTGGGACGGGACGGGATTTTTTCTCTGGGAGTGGGACGGGACAGGAGTGAAAATCTGCTCCCGTGTCATGCTCTAGTGCAAATGCCAGCATCCGTGCTACAGAGGGTGCAAACCTCTGACCTTTCTGCTATTCAAACTTTCCATCTCTTTTAGCCGTCCTGTTGAAATAAGATGCTGATTTCTTGATATCACTTTAGTTAATTAGCTAACATGTTGACTGTCCTTGCTGTAGTTGTCAGTGCATCTGGTGCAGTGAAGGTTTATTATTTTTAAATACATAGTAGTTATTATGTCTTTCAGCTGTGTTTGCTATTGACTGACACTGTTTTAAAAATGTTTGAAGCTCCTGTCTTGACCACTTTGTTGCCAAAAAGATGAAGCTACATTATCACCGTGATATTTCCTCTTTTTCAAGGCTCTGGGACATCCTTTCACGATTGTTTGGAGTCATTTGACGCTCAGACTTTATGAATTTTCAGCATATTAGATGGAGTGTATTTTCAAAGTTGTTTACCACTGTCCCTTCAGCAGTTTTGATCCTCTAAGAGTATAAATAACCTGTCTTTATCCGGGCTGGTATCATATTATGGCGGAGGGTGGTGTGGAGGAATCCGACCACAGGGAGGCTGGTGACTCTAACTAAAAGTGAGTATTACACCCTTTATTTATTTGTGATGGTAACAGGGACCGGGACCACTTCACTAACATGGCTCATGTCTCAGCAGTTCTCCATCCACTCCCCTTCAACACCTCTCTGTCACACTGTTACTGTCTCGCTCTGCTTCCTCATCCCCGCTCAGTGCTCTCTGACCTGACACCAAGGCGTGTTTCTTCTTTTTCTTGCTCTCTTTTTAATGCAGCTTAGTGTGGGTCTGTTTGAGTCATTTCTCTATAAAGCAGACTGATGTGCGCCCTGACTGAGAGCCAAGATTTTCCAGTGAAGGACGAACTGTAAAAAATAAGTATATGAAAAAGCAGATCCTGGAATATGCACAGAGACACTCTTTCAGTTATAGTCTTCTTCTTTTCCACTTCCTCTTTGCTGGCTGCACAGAGTAGTCATCTTGTAGTTTTTCCTTTTCCTTATTCTCATCTTTTCTATTCTTTATTTTTCAGCAAAAAATCCCCACTCCGTGCCATGACACAGATTTTCATTTATCAAGAGAGATGCTTAAATAACCCATGAAATTACTTGAAGGAAATCAGGCAACATCTGTGCAAAAACACAGACAGTACAAGTCCAGTAATCCCAGTCAGAAATGAATTAGTTCTCCACTCATCTCATTCCTCACATAGCGTGCCTCTGAGCATGTAAAACTGACTTTCACAAGAGCACAGCTGTAAGTACAACACTAAAACAAATAGCATGTTACTATGAAAAGTTAGTATTTACTACCAATGCCTCCCCCTCTCACTGAAACAGCTTCACAAGCTCTGAAACACATGTGTAAGTGATGCCAACTGAGAGGCGGTGTCAGTCTGCTCCAAATCATCTTTACAGGATTTTAATGTGAAACAAATGCAGTCATAGAGGTCCAAGTATGTCCCTCTGAGTGAAGAGGATAGACTCTGATCACTTTCTGTCTGGAAAAATGTGGACCATCTTAAAAACCAGTTAGTCTTGGACGGTTCGATGTTAAAAACATGTCACCAATCTTTGGCACCTAAAGTCAACAAAGAGGAGGAAGAGCCTTTCTGTGAACGCGTCCTCTCCTCTGCATTCATCACAGACAGCCCCTTTACTGTTTTTAGCAGCTGGCTCACTCCTGGACCACCTCCCAGTCATGCAGCCACAGGATCTGGCACACCCAGATCCTCTCTTCATCTATGTGCATATGTGATATTAATGCACACAACCACTTTTCTGTCCTCATGCTCAATCGGGATATATCATCCTGGGAGTTTGGAGCCCCCTTATCTCATAGGTTTCTGCAAATAAGATGCTGCTGTAGACCTTCCAGACACCAGCTGCCAAACCTGTACATATCTTACTTCAATTATCATGATTATCAGTGTTTCAAATAGCACAATGAAGTGCCAGTAGCCTTGGTCATAAACACGGGACTGCATTTATTCAAACGTATCATCTTGCATTTCTCCTCCTTAAGCAGCACTGTGACCTCTTCCTTCTAACAGTTTCTTTACGTCTCATCAGCAGGACCCCAAACATCACACCAGTAGCTCTGTGTGAGGACAACGCTTGTTAACAATGATCCAAAACTAAGAGCAACCAGCTGCATAAAAAACTAGAAAATATCACGAGGTCCATAAATATCATGAGAGACTGACCTCAGTCACCGAATCAAAAACAGGGACGTCAAGAATGTCAGAGTCAAAATGTAGCTCTCAGATACCATTTGCAACATGATCAGAGGTACAGAGCAATGGGAGATCTTTAAATATTAATGTGTTCTTTTTTAAACAGAAAAAAAAGGGTTCAAATAGTCAAAAAATATGCTTAAGATGCCTGCCTAGTTATAATCTAAGTGAGAGAAACACTGCTGTAGCAGCTGCAGGTGAGGTGCTCGCTGTGGTGAAGCTGCTCACGCTCCAGATGAAAGAGATTACACATGAAAAGAGCGAATAAACTAAGTTTGTGATGTTATTAAGACATAAGACTCTATAGAACGATTTTCCATGAGTCCCAAAACTTGAGTCTTTGGAGGTTGAGGGTCACATTATGCGACAGAAGCATGACTCCAGTCCTAGTCTCAGATTGGGGTCACTGCAGTTCAGGACACTGCACTTCAGAGCTGCTCACCTCTAACTGTGGCTGTTAACATTATCATCAGTCTATTATCTTCATCTGCTGCTTCTGCTCCCTATTCTTACTTTCAGTCTGACACAGCACACATCTGCATATCAGCCTCACTTCTATCAGGCCAACTAGCATCTGCTGTGGTTGGATCACAAGTTTCACTCCCTCATGGTGATATTTTTAACATGTTTGGATACAAAAACACTCTCACTCCCTCACACATGAGATGATCAACAAGTGTAACACTTGAGCAATAAACCCAATCCACAGACACTATTCCAGGCACGTCAGAAGAATGCAGCACTGGGGAGGAACAATGTGAGGCATTTGTAGAGGAATCAGCCGTGGCAGTGGTCCAGTAAACAATAACAAGAACTTCCTGCTGCATGTGTCCTCAATGGGAGGAAGGAACCACAACCCTTACCCTCAGGCCTCTGCATCCATACATGAGTGGGTATGTGGCTTTTCCACCAAAATATGGACTGATAGGATTAGTATTTCCACCCTATACATCCTTGCTGGACCATCAAAGCTCGCCAAATGTAGCATGAAAGGCTTAATACTGTATGTACCATTACCAAATACATACCAAAGCACCCTCACTCTGTTACAGATAGCTGTTGATCACTGAAGGAAGTAAAACACAGAGTGATCAGAGTGAAGTATAACCACATACAGAGATGAGTCAAACATAACTAAGTGGGAACTGTAAACACCGCCCACAGCTGCATGACAGTTTAAATTATTACTAAACTACTGCCCACAGAATTGCTGTTTTGATGTGAGATCATGCCAATGAAGATGCGCTCAATGTGCAACAGAAGCTCACTGAATCCCCTTTAAAGAAGAAGAGTCAAATTCATGATAGTGAGACTCTGCCTTTGTCACACCTGGTCTTAGTCACAAAGGGTGCAAACGTTGTGACGAAATCTGACGTTTAATTAATAAACCTTAAATATATGATATGATTGTTTTTCTTTTTTAGATCTTTTATTTAGGTCAGTATGGTAATGTAATATTATTATTTTTCATGCTCAAAGCTCCTACGGGGACTGACAGTTTCAGTTGATTATGGCGCCCCTGTGGATGATATGGTAGCACAAATCTCTCTGCTCAGCTGTCTTTCACCCACACCTGACACCTACCCTGTGCTGCAGTTCAAGGCATTAAAATGCAAAAAACCCTCATCCTGGTCTTGTTTGCATTTGCTGCTAATAAAGAGGCATCACACTTACTTTCAGTCTGTTTCAAACCCAGCTAAAACTCATATATACTAAGAGCTAAGTCTTACTCCATCTTAAGTCATTTTCTGGTTTTCCATCTGAACTTTTTCTCATGTGTGACCTTCTGCTACTTCTTCAACCACTGACCATACTTTTGCCACCCACACTTATTTTGAAACAGAAATAGAGCAGGTGTAAAAGTTTACAGTGCTGCAAGTAGGGCATGGATCAGAGTAGAGTAAGAGGACTCAAAAACTCTGAAACATGTGTGAAAATTATCTGCACTCAGACGTGGACTGAGGCTTCTTCACTGTCAGTCACCACAGAGGTGTTCTGTGTGAATGGGGCCTGCTCACATGTGCAGGAGATGTTTCTGATTTGAGCTAAACACAGACAGGAAACCATATGTCTGAGCTCTTCAGCGTGGCCGGTCTACACAGCCACACGTATGCGTATGCGCACACGCACACACACACACACACACACACACGCACACACACACACACACACACACACACACACACACACACACACACACACACACACACACACACACACACACACAGTGCCTGAGACAGAAAACCATTTTCCTCTCAGGGGTGAGAAAGGCAGCAGCCAAACACAGACAGCTGAGAGTCTGTGACCACACTGAGGAGTCCCCCAGAGTTATCTACATGTGACACAAACCCCACATTTCCAATTCCTGTTTGTGACGTGGTGCTTTTTTCTCCACGGTACAGACGTGACAGTAATGAGTCCTGAAAACACTCCCCTCTTCTGAAACACACATACGTACGGAGTTACATGCCAAAATACACACAGTTTCCATGTCTGTGGTCAGATAGAGTCTAAGAAGAAAAATGTATGCAAAGAAGAAGAGGAGGAGGAGGTGATAAACTGGAGGAAAAGATATGTGAGAAATGAGAGCGCGATAGTGAATGGCAGCATTTAGCCACTCATTTATGTATAAAATGGTTTCTGAAAAAGTGTACATCTGTCTGCAAAGATAGCTGAATGAATTAACAGTTGATTAATCAAACTTGCAGAAGCAGATGTGTTCGAACTGATATGCTGTCCTTCTGCAAAGCTTTAACGCATGCAGAGAAGGGAGTGGTTAACATAGTTTGTCTCTGCAGCCATATGAAGAGTGTTTAGAAAATAACAGATCACTGTTTGAGGTGTAGATTGTATAAAACATGGATCACAAACTGGATCTGAAAGATTTAATGAAGCCCAAAGTCAGTGTCTTACATACTGGAAATGGAATCACTGACTGTATCAAACATGAAGTTAGTTTCAGTGACGTCACACATCGGTTTCTGGGGGGATGTTTTGAAGCCAGATGTCAGCAGGTCCCTTATTGGAAATTCTGACTCAAACTAACTTGTAATCAGCTCAGATACAGGCACAGAAAAACTGGGTTTTGTTTCAGGCTGTGAGCACATTTCATTTTGCAGAGGAAATAGACTTTCTGACCGTTTTCTTAACTGATTTTATTTAGTTCTGTGACTTATCATCTACCAGTAGTAGTAGTAGTAAACTTCAAAGTAAAAGCACAGTTTAACAATGCAGGAAATGATACAACCAAAGAAGACAGTAAAGTTGAAAGAGGTAACGCCGTCTCTGAAGAGGTTTCAGACAGGGCTGATAACACATAATTGGGTTGAAGTTATGTGCTCCTCAATCTTTGTCTAGCCTTCCTTTAATTTGAGTGATTGTAATGTTTTCAAGCATTTCATAAGTATCTCAGTATTTTTGCTATCACAATATTGAATGGCCAAAAGTGAATTTACTGAACAATGAAAAAACCACATCTTTGGTCTGAGTTTGACCCCTGTATTAGTCAAAGCATCATTAAGTGATCCATCAACAAGTGAATCATCACTCATTTATGACCACATAACACCCACATTTATATTCCTTTTCTTTCCTGGTTGCAATCTTTTACAATCTTTTGTTATTGATCAGCTGTATGCACCACAGGGACTGCTGGCTAAGGGCTGATAAAGAGGGAGAGAAATGAGTCACAGTGTTTCCTGAAAACTACCACCGTCTCTGACCGAAAACCAAACAGGCAAGAGCTGAAACACCAAAGTGAAAAAGTGATTATAGGTCATAAAAACCAAAACTAAGAACTGATCTGAGGCTGACATCGACATTAAAGGTGTAACTCTTTCCTGCTTAGAAAGTGAGAATGTCATCAACTCACTGGGGGAGAATAACAGCATGTCGTTGCACTCGTCCTCTTTCGAACAGGAGCACACGTGAGCCATCCCCCTCGTTGTGTTTTTCTCCTTCATCACACAGGTGGAGCTGTTGTAGTCGTCCAGCATGATGCCATACAGAGACTTGGATGGATCGTGACAGAGAGTCTCGATGGAAAAGTCTGTTTCATTCCTCCTCCTGAAGGCAAACAGACAACCAGAGTGGAGATGTCATTATTTAAAAGGTTACTTTTGGTTATCGAAAAGATCACACATCAGAGACGGAGGTGCTGTTCTGCTGTCAGGTACCTACCAGATAGAGACGCAGACCTCGCTGACGTCACTGCAGATGGATGTGATGGAACAGTTGGTGATGCAGGTCCCTGTACCACTACAGGAGGACAGCTCCACATCACAGAACTTACAGAGCTGCCGGAGAGGGTAGAGGTGGAGCATACCTGCGACACACACACACACACACACACACACACACACACACACACACACACACACACACACACACACACACACACACACACACACACACACACACACACACACACTGTCAGCACACTGAAAGTGTCACAGTTTTCAGAGCTCATCAGCCCTCTTTACCCATGCTTCTTTGTCCTCTTCAAATATTGGAGGGGAGTTTCAGGCATCATGTGCCTGATTACAAATAACTCACATAAGAAGACTGCTAAACTGCATTCACAACAAATCAAATTGCTTGTTTTGCTGGTGTGCATCTCATGGATGATCAACTAAGACCTGCTTGTATGACGACAGATGTAAAGACTGTGGAAACAGTGGTATTTCAATGAGGATTCTGCGTTTGACTAGTTTACATCATGTAAAGTTTGGATAGAAAGCAGGGTAGCAGCAAGTGAAAAATGAAATCCAGTCCCACTACTCAGACACCTGAATATGACAAGAAGAAACTCAACAGGAGTCAACACTGTCAGTAAGACAAGGAGAACAACAATCATCCCAAATTTATGGACACTAGTGCATGACCACAATTTGAGGCACAAACTAGGAAACAGTCTGCAGCTCTTGAGGATCGTCCTCTGTGGCACTGTGGTTAAGTGCTTCAAGATCTGAGCTTAACATTTGTTTCAGTCCAGATGAACACTCTAAATAAAGAGGTCTGTGCTTAGTCAGATACTTAGTTACTATTTTTATACTACTTTTAAACTATTTCAAAGTTGAAATCTTTGGGCTTTTGTTGAACAGAGGATAGAGAGGGATCAGACCCTACAGGCTTTCTGTGAGGAGTTTGCATGTTCTCCTCTACCTATCCAGATACACTTGGGACATGCTCATCAGGTTTATTAGTGTCTCTGACTTGCTTGTAGGTATAAATGTGAGCGTGACTGTAACTTGTTTTGTCTCTGTAAGTCTGCCCTGTCATGGACTGGCAACTTATCCAGGGTGAACCCCATCTCTCCCTCTCCAGGCCCCTGCATCCAAATACAGGAGAAGCGTTATAAATAATGGCTGACCATATGGATAGATGGATGAAAAACAAAGATTTGGATGGAGGATTTGTTGATTAATCCAGAAACTGTTACACACTGTAGGTTTGAATGATGAAAAAGCTCCAGTCTCCTGAATCTCACCAGGTTGGATCATAACCACCTGTCAACACAGGCAACCACAAATGGGGAAACACCTCCACCAAGCTGGACTTCTGGGTCCAAGATGAACCACCTCAAACATGCAACAAGAAGCTGAAGGAAACCATCAAGTCGAACAAAAATAGGCTGAGAGCAAAGTTAACGATCGACACAGACAACCACAGCTGAAAAAATAGGCAGCATGGGCCAAGCTGAAGCAATTTCTAACATCAAACCACTTCAGATACATGAGCCAAAACCAGACAGAGGATCTTTAAATACCTTCAAAAACATCATGCTGAAGGGATTTCCTGAAATAAGACATGAGCCTGGTTTTATATTTTTAAGATGAAAGCATAATGGTCAGATACAGTGTTTTCTGATCTAGTGAGAATGTGATGCAAGATTTTTGCAAGTGAGGAGGGAAGATCAGTTTATCCTTTCCTGGCTGTACCTTTAAATAAGGTGCTGAGAAAAACACTCCACCTGACCCCCTCGATGTGCTTTGGTTGAAGAGCAGTTTATAGTTGCAGTCATCATGTATGCTCCTGAGCCCTGTGTTTAAGGTAAAAGTGTTTAAGTTCATCACCTGGCTGCTTTCATGGTATGCATGTGATACCACGGTGTGCTGCTGCCTGGGCTGGCAGTGTAATCACTACAATCTTCTCTCTATCATTCTTACGAGAAGGACCTGAGCTGCCTAAGCTGCTCTGTGACCTGTTCAGACCTGCTGAAGCTGCTGCTTCAGGACAGGCTGCAGAAGAAGCACTGGAGGGTTAAGCTATGAGAGTCACATAGCTTGTTCTTAAAGTTTAAAACCATACTTTTAATTGGAGAAATAAAACAAAGGTCTTATGTAGCTCATTTTAAGTAGAAATTAAATGATGGGGTGTAGCTCTGGGTATTGTATGCAGGTGTTGTGGTGCAGCAAGGTGGTTTTACAGTTGGAGAAACCCTTCCTCTGCAGGGAGGTCTGAGTATAAGCCTTCTTGTTGCCAAGCATCTGTGCTGGTTCAGCTTCACTGAGCCATACACTGAATTCCTTCCAGCTCTTTAGCATGCATGAATGTCAGCTTTTCCTACTCTTCTGAACAACGCTGACGTGGTTAAGGTTCAGTTCTGTTTGCCTCTTTGGTTCAATGCAATTATTCATTAAGAGTTTTTAGAAACCTGAAGTGAGTTCCCTCTCTTATGTGCCTTTTTTCCTTAAAGAACATCTGAAATACAGCATTAGGAACAACTGCCAAACCCTATGTACTTGGAAAATAAAAGCGTATCACAGTGTCCCATTAGAGAAGGTGTTACTCCGCCTTTTCATACTGCAGCCAGAGCCTGACCTTTTCTTTATGTGGTGTCAGAATATAAGGAAATATTAGTTCTCAGCTTGGAAAGTTGAGGGGAACGCCACCTCATGTTTGAAACACAACTCCAAACGTGGATGGAATTGGAATGGAGGTCCAAAATTTGCAGAGCTGACAAATTAACATCATGTATCACCGAAAAACAGAGTAGGAGAATAATATTAAGACAGGATACAGGCAAGGCAGCTTTTACATATTTACATGTGACATGTGTTTTTTTCTGCCCAGGTAAATTGTAATAACTTGGTGTCAGAATGTGGATGTTATATACAGTCCAAAGAGGGCTGCTTTCACTCCTTCAGATCAACTAGTTTGTCTAACATCAGATGACAAAAGGATTTTTGAGTTCACACTGCATTCCTGCAAAGTGGGCCAAAGCTCACACCACTGTCATCAAGTCCTTATGCTAAAGCCTTCTTTGCCACTGTGCAAAGGTAAACAAACAAACTAACATCTGCCAGTCGACCTACAACAAAATGAGTTTCATCAGGACTTCTTTGATTGAAGAGAAGTATATTTGGACACTTTCTCATGCATAATGATTTGCTTCATTCATGTGCAAGACAGGAGCGTTTCCTTCATGCCATTTCAGTCACTTCAGTTGAGGCTGACTCCCTTGTGAGGATTTGTTGAGTTTGCACAATTTAAACCAACCTCCTCACTCTCTTTCCTCCAGGTGTTTCCACTGAAAAACAAGCTACCTTGAGAGACATCATACCTCAGGGTAGCTGTGTACAGTCATCAGCTTGTTCCCCATCCTCCAGACAAATGAACCTCCACCTCTCCATGATTGACATTAGACACTGAGGGATCTCTGTGCTAAATGGCTATTTTGGCGCCAGTATTCAAATCTTTCAACTCCCCACAATTATTGGAGCAATAAAGACAGAGTGAACCCATCACGAATTAACTTCAATCATGTGCACAACTTGTCATACTTGCATATTCTTATTGCCTCATTCCTGCCAATCACGTCCTCAACAAGAACTTGCCATCACATCTTTACATCGATTTTACTTCTAATGCAATCTCCCTTCTGCTTCGTGTGCTTACATAAAAAGCCAAGGCAGGGAGAGCAGCAGCAAAGACCCTCAGTGAGTAGACATCAGCAATGAAATAAAAGGAGGAGCTGGGTTGCAAAAGCAAGAGACAACAGCAAGAGTTACAGCCACAGGCTTAAGCTCTTTAAATAATATGCCCATTAAGGAATTCGCTCATGAATGTGTTGTTGAGACAAAAACAACCCACATTCATGTTGTTTAGTTCCAGTACTTCTGCATACCCTGCAGCTCTACTATATTCTTCTACTTACAGTACTCAATTCAGTCAGCTGTACTGCTTGATTTGCTGTTATTTTTACATTATTTTAATGACCATTGAGGCTGTTTTCACCAGCACCAAACATTACAGACAGAAAAAGTGGGCCAAGGGTTCAGGTTCAGTGCATGATCACATCTTTGGACTTTAGAGACAGATAGACTAAGAGAGAGGTTGTCAGATGTTGCTGATAACCACTTCACTGTGATGAATGGATCAACATGAACAACAACAACAATCCTCACAAGTCTGAAATCTAACACACAGACAAAACAACTGCAGCGACCACAGTCTCTGCTATCGTTCAATCTCCTGACCTGCAGCTCGTCTACAGAGCTGAGATCTGAAACCAAACCACAGGAGAACTTGCATGAGTTCTCGTCACTCTCCCTTATGTCTTTAGACTCTCCTTTTACAGTGTGTGTTTATATGGTGGGTGTAACACCCGATAACAGTCTGAATGGCTGAAACAGTTAATATACTTTCAAGACACATACCATCACACTGCGTCAGGACTTTGGGGCAGGACAGAGAGTGAAAAAAAAAAAAACACCCACTCACAACCTCCAGACAAATAAAACCTGCGATTTAGAGCCACAGAGTGCCACCAAGACTGTATAAGTGAGAAGGTCGAGTTTCTCTGTGCAGTCTGCGAGTCTTTTTTATGGTGTTGTTTAATCTTTATTGTACCATTATGTAACACTGATTAGGAGCTCATTAACAGATGGTTTTTGGTTGTCAGCCAGTCTTTGCTGGTGTGGGTCTGTTTGAACCCAGGCTGTTTGCTCTGTATTTATGTGCTTTTAGGATATTTATGTATATTTAAAGAGATAGTTCAACTTTATTTGGATGAGGACTTGTTTTATTGTTTGTTGTGGAGATTTAAAGGTGCATGGGTAGCACAGTAGTGCAGTGGTTACAGCTGGCAATCCCTAGGTTACTGGTTTGACCCCCTTGGATAGCAGTTTCCTTTCAGGGTCTAAGACATGCTAATAAGTAGACAGTCTGAATAATTGGTCTTGTTATTGGCGTTTTGAAATAATCAGCATCACATCATATTTTTACATGTTTTCTCCTCATCCTAAAGCATTTTTTGTCTAAATTATCACCTGGCTTTCTTACTCATCATCCAGCTATGTTAGATACTTGCTTCAAATTGGTCAATACAGTTTTTTTTTTAGCTCTACATAACGAGTGGAACCATGGGGAAAAAGCAAATCACACATCATGTGAAAATCAACCCATGGGAAACAGTTCTTGCAGATCTTACTTGAGTTGGACAAAGGTGTTGGTTTCCAGTAGCATCACACATACAAACGGTGGTCACACACACACACACACACACAAAAAAAAATAGAAAGAAAAATAAAATTTTAAAAAATAGCTGTTGACACCAGCCTGCTGCAGCACTCGGTGCATACATCTTGATTTCTCATGATTGTCACTGAAATGTCTGTATGTTTACAGGATATCCGCACTGATTATTCTCATATAACACCAGTGTGTTCACTGGTGTTCCTGGGTCTCAGCAGTCTCTATAACCGTTAACATCATACTGAGTGATGCTGAACAGTGTTAGAGGAGACTGATTCAATCACAGTCACTGTGCGTCACAGTTGTTCAATTTCCTGTTGATGCCACTTTGAGTTTTTACACCTGACTTTCTCTTCTGGTTTTCTCTTTTGTGTTTGGAGGACTGTGGAGGTGAGTTAAGCTGATGAAATATTTTGCGGTCTCTATGACATGCTTCTATCTCTTCATAACATACTAATAAGTACTCACAACAGTCATGTGCTATATTGATATTTCATGGAATTCCATGTGCAAAAAAAAAGAGAAACCATATATACAATCTTCAGTTTATTTTCTGTACACCTGAAACACTAATTCCCTCTGCCTCCAAACCTTGCTCATGGATAGATCAGTTTGCTCTTCTGTCAAGTTTGGCATTTATGATCACAAACCTAGCATGGGGAGTGCTGTACGTCACTTTCAGGCCCTGTTTTGTGTGGGCCTTATGTTTCTATATGAGGCCCCTGGTGCATGTTAGGGTTGGGAATCACAAGTGGCCTTGCAAGAGATACTATCAAAATACTTGGGCCACCATACTACATTATTGCAATTTTTGACATTTTGCAATACAGTGAGTATCGCAATACTGTATTGTGATTTAAACATTTTTTTCAATTGTTCAGCTGATTTATCATTTATATTTCCTTTATGTTTGTCTTATTTACACCAGCGTTTCCCCTACATGCAATTGATTGTGGCTCACCACCACGGCTAAGTAAGCGCCGCCACACCTAAAAAAAATGTGTTTTTATCTCACATAGTGCTACCTCGAACTCATACATATCAGCAGTATTTACCCTACATTCATTCAGCAGCGGCACTGCTAAATTACGTACGCCGCTACTGAAATTTCACATGATCATTAATATCAATGCGCCACTAATGATTTGTATGCACTGTGTGAGCACAACAACAGACAGCGTTATTTTCGACTTGTTTTGAGTCATCAACAAGCGCCTCAAATCCTGTCGGACCCTCTTCCACTAATGTGAAGGGTAACGTTTAGGCTTATACACGGTCTGTATAGCGAGTAGCACAGATAACGTAAAGGGCCGGAGGGTGGCGGACCCCACGCAGTGGTGTTTTCCTCTGGCAGAGCCCAGTGTACAGCCAGTTTGGTATTTTCGTAGACTGAGGTGCACCGAAGTCCGCCAAGCTGGGCATGGTGGCACAGCAGGGGGAGGTGTCGTCTGAATCAGCTGGCGCAGTGACACTTTCGTGCTCGGTGGTGGCATAGAAAGTGCGCTGAAAGCTCGCCGATTCAAACCTGGTCAGCGCAGGCGGAGCGCAGCTGGTCTAGAGGTATTTTGGTAGACCGGCAACGTAACCAATGCCTCACTGGCAGGTTTCCACAGTTTCATGCACATTTCATCTATATCTATATCTGATCTGATGAGCACGTTTGGCACGTGTTTGCGTCATTTACGCACAGATGGTTCCGATTTTAATGCCATTTTTGGAGTTTATGTTGTGATCTGTGTGCACAACCCACCTTTGTCATATGAGGTTTAAATATATGCAACTTTATGTGATTGTCTTTATTTGTGGAAAAGGGTGTTTGTCTTACCAGTGGGTCCAACATTACACACACCAAATCCATCTGTGCTTATATGAGACAGTGTGAAGGACGCCCTCTGCAGCGCTTGCAACGACACTTGTTGAGAAGCTGCCTTCTGTCGCCATCGTGTGGTGTTGCTGTGTTCAGCCATCTCGATCTCTTTGATACTTAACAAAAATTGTTATACGCCTTGCCGGTGGCGGATTTAAAGGTGAGGAGAGGAGCGGTTCTGATTGGCGAAAACAGGTCTCGACTGTGTTAAACCCACTCCACGCCTCTTTACGACTTACGCCGCTGGGAGGAGCTAAGTTAGGGAAGGGGAATACTTATGCCGGGCTGCGCCACTCACCCTGGCAGACTTGACTTACGCTGCGCCTACGCCACTTCCCTGGCGAGGAACGAAAATAGAGCCCCTTATGTGTCAGATCCATCTCATTTGTGCCCTGTTTGCATTTCTAATGTCTTTCCCCGGGTGCTGCAATATTTGTTGCACCATAGTGATGGGAAGAACAGTTCTTTTGACTGTACTGAATCTTGAGAATCCGTTCATTAAAATGATTCGTTCAAAAGTTCAGTCAGTGCTTCGGTGCAGTGCGAGAGTGACTGACACAGCAGTACTGATCGGGAGTTTGTTCATTAATTGAGACCCTCTCCTCCCCTGCTGCTGAAGTCACAGCGTCATTCACTAGGTGGCACATGTTGTTCCTTCTCCAAGTTGTGAAGGAAGATTCACTACCCTGCCCTGAAAAACTCACCTCTCTGTGTGCCAGCGACGTTCGCATCATGACGCTAGTGAAACAACACAGCAGCAAGCAGCACGCCTGCAAAATGAGCACGTATCATTGTTCTTTTATATCGCGGAAAACTGGAGAGATTAAAAATAAATAAACATAGCAGCTGTAGCGAGCACTCTGTTACTTTTAAAGATATCAAATAGCGTATTACCTTAATCGGCTGAAATTAAATCCTTCTTACAGAAAAGTTTATAGACATGTATTTGTGTAAAGGCACTATAATGCACTGTTTTATCTTAGCCACGGTGAACGAACTGGTGCTTGGCAGTTCGTGAACAATGCTACACCCCTCCCTTCTCTGCCTGATAGTCATTTAAAAGTTGTTTGTTTGTTTCGTTCACAGTCTGACTGATGTGTATCGTTCATTTACTGTGCGAAAATCACAAGACTCCGCCCGTCCATTCCCTTGCTGGCTGGCTGTGTGTCGTTCGCCAAAGAGTCAAAGGCGGCGGTTCCACTCCTGACCGGCACACCACACTCATAGCTGAGCTCAACTGAACTGAGAAAGGAACGAATCAGATCTTGGGTTGATTCCACTCATGTTGTTCACTCAGCAGTTCTGTTCTTTTGAACAAAAGGTTTTTGAATGACACAACACTATTGCACTAACTTTCTCCTGCTCTATGATGTCACCTCTGCCAACCTCACTGGAAAAACAGTTGATTTTATTTTTCCATTATCATAGATTTGACCTTATTTTAACAATTGATCAGAAAAAATAGATACTTGGTAAATGGGCTTATATTACCTGACAAAATATCATGATACTATGCTGTATCGATTTTTTCTCCCACCCCTGGTGCTTGTACACTTGGACAAGGGCAGCAGCCCAGTAAACTAGCCTACTGGAGCTTTAACTGTGGCTCAACTTAACTGTACATGCAAATGTATGTATGTTTCAACCCTGTGGTAGACCTGAAAAGACACTATTTATTTGGTCTTGGTTGAATTACCTCCTGAATAAACACTCACTGTATGTTGGCAAATTATTTCTCAACCCCGAGTCTCATGAACCAGTGGTGGTTCATCATCTGCTACATCAGTGGCAGCATGCTCATCAAGGACATGCCTCAATGATCTTTGCAATGAGGTCGACCCCATACAACAGAAATACAGATGGAGTAATTCAGTCCTAAAGGAGTTAGAAGGTTGAAGACAAACACTGCAGCACACTGTTTAACAGTATCCATGCAGAGGCTTTGTTGTGATATGTGGGTCACGGTTCGAGCTGTTTAAGCACTTTGACTTTCTCTTTTTATGAGACTTTTCCTGCTGCCAGCTCATGTGTAGGAATTACACTATGAAAACAGCAGTGACCCGAGTACGTCACAGGAAAGCAGAGGAGGAAAGTAATGACTCCTGAAGGGGCAGTAATTGGAACGTGAGATTTCTTTGTGCTTCTGTGACTGCAGGAGGGAAACCGTGCTACTGTGACCTGCTTCTGTCTGGAACTAAGACCAATAAATAACTATTATTTATACCAGCGCTGACTTTGAAAACACTGTGCAAAGTATGATCATGTCTCTGCTAAATGAATGATGCACCACACACCAAAAACAAAGAAGTGGTCTCCTGAAATGACTTACACAAAGTTCACCTGTAACAACCAGTTAAAACCAGTTCTCTTTAAAGACTCTGTGAATCTGACAGCTGTTCAAATATCCAAAGCATAACTTTAAATGTCATTGTCAGAATATCTTTGTATAAGAAAAGAAGATTTTCTAGGAAAAAGCATTAAAAATACTGTAAATGGAATCAAAAGGAGTGAAAATACCAGAGCAGGCACTGTCATTGTCATGTGAGGTCACAGAAACACAAAGTTTATCACTAAAAAGCTGCTGTTCTGACAAAGAGAGTGGCTTGAACACTGAGTCTGAAATCTAATCGGAAACATAATCACCAATCTTAAGGCAAAATGTTCAAATCTGTCATTAAAAAGGTTCTGAGGTTCTTTCACATAAACAAAACAACACTGAGATTATCTTTTTGAGCTGAACTGTGTTTTCCAGCACTGAAACTTAACATGAGCTGAAATATTCAGAAGTCCTCCCTTCTTTGAATTTCCTCCCCTCTCCTCTCTTTCTCCCTCTGAGGATGTCAGCGCACAGACAGGAAACGTCACTGTAGTTTATAACCCGTACAGAGGATGCACTGCTACAAACCGCTCCAGTGTGAACGGAAAAAGTGACAAATCTACACAACAGGCAAACTGTGTCACTTGAAACCTCTTTTAAAATCCTATTTCTGTATTTGAAGCTGCAGAAATGAAAAGGAAATAAGTGGTTTGTGCTTCAGGTATTCACATGTAGGAGGGTTATGGTCTACTTCCTTCAGAAATCTTGGGTCCCCCGAAGTCATATTATGATACTGGACTGAAGAACAGAGAAAAGAATTAAAAATATCCTTCCTCTTTTAATTGCAGTCCTGTCACTGAAACGAGAGGAGACAACTGGCAAGAGGCTGCTGCAGGGCTACATAACTGACCCAGCAGGCAACTCAGCTCTGCCCCCCTGCCTCTGAAAGTTATCCTCCCACCTACGACTCCCTCTTAATCCCCCTCACTCCAACTTGGCTGTAATCCTCTCATTCCTCCGTCTTTATCTTCCTGTGTTCCCTCTCTTTCTCCCTGCCACCTCTCCCTCCTTATTCCGTTTGACCTGCAGAGTCATTGAAGCAGATGGAGAGAAGAGAGCGCAAGGGAAAGTCAGCTAATATGGTGAAAAATCAAAGGGAGACACTTCACAGGGTTAAAGTGGATGACCCCCCTCTCTCTGCTCCACCTCTGCACACTGAGGCCCAGAAACATCAGTGTAAACACAGGAGATATCAGGACAGGAAAGGCCTGCACACACCTACTGAGATGAGCTCTTATAAACTGCACATGCTACAAGAACACCACAAAACAACCCCACTGTGTCCAAAAGAAAATATTGATCCATCTCCTCTCGAAAGCAGCCTCCTGTTTCCCTTTCAGCCCACATTCTGTTTGAGTGGCACCTTCAGCTGGCTTGTGTCAGGCGTTATCTTGACTCAGCACAGGGATTGGGAAATGTGAAGATTCCCTGGAAAGGAAGGAAGAACGAACCTTCCTCTGAGCGGATGGTTATCCACATCAAATGAGAGCAAACAACGAAGGACGAGATAAAAACAACAGAGTGCGGGCCTTGTGTTTGGATAACCACAATGTCAAGCTGCTCTGGTACTGGGAGAGCGGTGAGCAGCTTCCTCCAGGCCGAGGTGCTCTGGAGAAGTCAGAATAACAGGGACTGTGTCCATGGGTCAGATGAGGGGGGACACATGTGGATGTGTTCTTGTGTTGCTTCAAATGTGTCTGTTTATGACACACAGTGCAGCAGGGCCACACAGTCGTCGTGGTATGTGGGATTTCCACGTTCAAAATAGGACTCATGGTAGAAGGAGGGCAGAAACAAACAGCAGAGAGGGGACATGGGGAAGATGAAGAGGAGGAGAAGGAGAAAAGCAACAACATATCGACAAAGTTTCAAAGAAACAAGGACAGGATTATTCTGCATTTACTCTGCCCACCTGCCATCAGGCATGGGGAAGTTCCTGAGGTTAACCGGTACAGGAGGTGTTATGACACATGGAAAGTTGCCAAGGCTGTTAAATACAGCTGTTAACACATGGATTAGAGTGCAGAGGAGAGAAAGTGCCACCAAGCCTGTTTAGTGTGAGTCTTAAACACATAACCTCAGATCAATTCTCACTGAATGCTCAGAGTGGAGAGAGATAAACCCACATAAACAGCTGGACACCACTGATGCCTTTACAAAGATAAGGCAGCACTCGTCTGAAATGATGCACAAAACATCCAGACTTGACTGAACAGTGCAGCCAAACACTAGTTTGCATAAACTCACATTAATATCACTACCAAACGTTCACAGAAAGACTCATAATTGGTGACTTTTAAACCACAGGGGCATTTAGAGCTATCACTTTAGTTGGCAGAATGATTAAATATCAGATCAAAGTTCCTGAAATGAAGAACTGATGGATTGAATGGCCCCTGCTTTCACTAACAAGCATGATTTTTGGACTAAAACTCACTGCTGTCAGTTCACTCAGACAGGAAGGATTTGGTAAACAAAACGAATCAAATGATTTATTTTTTCTTTTATTCATTTTAGTTTTTTCCCCACTCTGTTGATGATATTTAATGAAGTAAACGCAAGCCAGCAGCCCAACTTTGCACTTAGGTCCACGGACCACGAAACTCTCAAGTCCGATCAGATCTCAGGGATTTCCACCAGTGCTTCTCAACCAATGTCTCTCCGATATTCATATCAGTACCGATTATAGATATGCTCTTTCACAGCTGGCATCACGGTGAGTAAATAAGCCTATAAGAGAACCCAACACTAAGAGCATTTCTGAGCCGTGAGTCCGCCGTTGAGTCACCTGTTGCGCCCGGCTGTCCTCGGCTTTCCGCGGAGCCGTGCGTAACTTGCTACAGGAGAAGTTTCCCAGGCTCATTACAGACACACAGTCCACGTTTGATTTAATTACCTTGGAGCTGACATTATCGAGTGGCGTTATGACCTCAGAGCAATAAGAAAAGAGCGTCATTAAAGTCAGGAACATGCGCAACTTACCGGCGGTCCCGGACTCCAGCAGCACCGTTAAGAGAAAGATCGATAAAACTCCCCTTGAAGATGAAGAGCAGAGCTGTCCCGCCATGTTTCCGCGTGTCCTCTGTCCAAACACTCACATTCACATGAAAGCTGACGTTTAGAGAAGTTCAGAGGAGGACTGAGTTTGGTGTTTTCCCTCGTCTGTGCGCTCCACTCCGCTCAGCAGCTGGAGAGTCACTGCTGAATTATACACACACCCACTCTGTATACTCACGCTGAAAACACACACACACACACACACACACACACACACACACACACACACACACTGCTCTGACAGGAAACCGGAGGAGGGAGGAAGGACTCTCTCTCTCTCTCTCTCTCTCTCTCGCTCTCCCTCTCTCTCTCTGTATGAATGTGCGTTAGTGTAATTACCTTTCCAAATACTGGAAGTGGGAACAGTAAACAGCTCTGTATGCATGTACATAATCTCAGGACCAATACATGTTGCAAGCCAGCTTTCAGGAATATCACAGAGCCTCTACAGATGTTGAAGAAACTGTAGACTGACTGTTGACAGAATACCAGACAGCTGAAGAAAATGTTTCACAAACATACAGGCTACAGAAATCATTTTTTAGATCCACAAGATTTAGCCAACACTACCCCCCCCCCCCCAAAAAAAAAAAAAAAAAACCCAAAAAACCAAAACAACAACAACAACAAAAAAAACAGTCTACTGTACTTGTGAATACTTAATGTGGAAAAACAGGGATGCTACTTAGGGAGAGATGGTCTTGTTTGTTTATGAATATCATCATAATGTGTCCTGAATAGTAGGTCACATTTTACAAATCAGGGCAACGTCATTTAAAAGTTGATCAAAGGTATGCACATTTTTTGTTATATTAGTAGCAACTGTGTTGACACCAGCAGATCCATGGGCATGTTCATTTCCAAATAAGACCAACGTCAGAACTCAGGTATATTGGTGGTGTGTTGCATTTGAGGCAACAGCAAGCAATAAGACACCGATCATTAGGAATCTGAGAAAAAAATTCATGATCCATGTTGACTTCTGTGTTTTACAGCAAAATCATAAAATTGCCAACAGGAAGACACAAAGTTGTTTCACTCTGCTGTATACACGCTTGATTGTACAGTTTTAGATAGTTTTATTGCCCTGTACTTCATATCCACAACAACATTACGCAAAACTCTATAAAACAACAACAATAAAAAAAACTGATCACTGTACAGGGTGACCTTTAGGTTACATAAGTTTTTGTGGTGGGATTGGACTGGACCCAAGTCTCTAGTAATGGTTTTAAAGGAACATGTTGCCAAACCCTTCAGAGAGTGAGTCTGCTCTGTCTGCTGCGTGTCTTCATTGACTTTGAACAAATCTCGATTCAAGGGGAATGTGAGGTTTTTATATGTCACTGCTTTATGGATGTCTGGAAAACTTCTATGACTAAACGTACAAATGATAAACTTCCTGTGTATGTTGGGATACATATGCGAGTATGTGTGTGTTTGATGAATTTGCTTGCTGATGAGTGACAGTGTATCTTGATGGCAGCAGAAACTGGGCCCGGTGACAGAAGCGTGATAAAGCTGAGCCAGTGTGTCTGGATATGTGAGGCAGCAGGTCTGAACATGCAGCTCTGTACCAGCTCTGGAACTGAGCCACACACTCCACAGAGTCTCACAGCCCCCGTAAACCCTCCCTGTACCGGTCCTCTAGAGTCTCACTCCGTCAGCTGCAGGTCAGGGTCCAGAGGGTCGGCCATCTATTTAGTTTTAGGTCCCAAATGGCAGTGGTAGTAGTTGTCTTTAAGCCTGAGAGCTTAAATGAACTAAGTTACATTGAAAATATAACTCCTTGTCAGCATGTAAAAACTAGAGGGATAGTTTGGGGGTTTATAACCTATGAGTTTGGTGGAATAACACATTACATAATAGTGGTTTTAAGAATAACTCACTTCTCAAAGACATTAGATTATAATAAGACTTTGATATTTACTCCAAATGTAACATTAGCATTAGCTTAAGAGATAGAGTGGTCGTCCAATAACTCAAAGGTTCATTATCATTATAATTAGATACTAAGATTGAAAGATGGTATGGCTGATAAAAAATAAATGATCATGTCGTATTTAAAGGCATGGTTGATGACTGGTTTACTGTCTCCTGATACAAAGACATTGTAAAATAAGACGAAGAAAGGATGAGTTGAAAAAACTTGGAGGGAGTTTTCTGGCCACCTAACACCAGATCATTGAGACAGCTCTTGCAAAACACAAGAATTTCATGGAACACAGGATAACTCAATAACTTGGAAACAAAATGAAAAAAAAAAAAAAGTTTTCAAAGGTAGAAGAAGGGACATTTATAATTATGATGGTGCTGGTTGGGTGTAGTTTGAGTTTCAACACTCAGTCGGAACTCTTCTGTCAGTCATCAAGTCTGAAACCATAAAACCACTTTATTTTCATAAATCCCCACATGAGCAGGGATCACACTGAGTTATAACTGATGGACCAAGATCCTAAATGTTTCTGGATGAATTTAAGAACCACATTGAGAGATTTTCATTCCTAAATTGGAAGAATGATGTGCGTGATGTGAGAGTGTTTAGAGGTGTGGTTGAAGCATTTCCTGATAAATCTTGAATCTTTCTCTCTAATAATCTCAGAGAGCTTTACAGCTCTGTGCACATTGGCAGGCTTCTTTATCTGTTTTCTAAGTTGTTCATTTTTTTGTCATGTCTTTGTTTTTTGTAATTATTAACATCCTGAAGTTTCCTGGATGATTGCGAAACCCTCTCTTTGCCGGAGGAGTTTCGTAACATCGGAAAATTGGACTCAAATGGGAGAGACTTTTTTCCTTTTCATGTTGGCTGAGCAAGCTTTTCTGAAAAAGATCTGATTTTGATTCTTGTGGCATCTGTTTTGTTTCTTCTGCCCAAAGAATTGTAAAAAGCATTATTGTATCTTTAGAGACTCAATCTGGTGTCATTTGAGCAAAGATAGCACAGGTCTATTTAAATATGTGAGGTCACTTCTGTTCCGTTCAGACGGTCAGACTGTTTGGCCACAGGACCTGGTTAACACTGACAAACAGAATCAGACTGGCTGACCCACACACAGGTTGCATCCCAAGAGTTGTGAAATTTTTTTGATGACCCTCTCCCAGAAAGTTTGTACTGGGGGGGCAGAGCCACATTGCATGGTAATGAGTGTCTGGAGTGTTTAGTGTACATGATGAGTAAATGTCTGTGTCTTTAAGTCCCATTTTATGTATTCTATGTGCCATGAGCTCTGTGACTTCATAGTTTATACTGTATTAGTTGTATATTTGTATTTTTTTGACATTGTGAAGGTGTTCTGGCAGATTTGTGACCAGTAATCTGCATTGGGACTGATCACTAGGTCAATTTTCCATTTTTGTGTTTTTTTTTTTTTGGTTGTTTTTTGTGCCTATTTGCTTGTTCTAGTTCCGTCCATAGGTGAGGCTGTGTTGGGTGATTAATCCATTTAAATATATTATAAGAGGTTGGCAAGAAAAAAAAAAGAAAAATGGGTGCCTCTAGGCCACCTGATGTTTGACTTTTTTGTAATGTTGAGGGTTTGATCCTTGTTTTTTTTTATTTTTCCAATAAAATTTGTTTATGATGGAGTGCAGTAATTGAAACCAATTGGTAGTAGGTTGGGTTGGGATCTTTGTAAAAAGATAATTGATTTGAGGTAATATTGACATTTTGATTACAGCTATTCTACCAGTGAGAGAAAGTGGTAAGTTCATCCAACAGTTGAGATCGTCTTCAATGGTTTTGAGTAATGGAGTGAATTTTAATTTGAACAACTCTGAAAGCTTGGTGGAAATGTTTATACCTAAGTATTTGATCTTACCAACGGATAAGGGAGGGGGTGCATGTAAGGATGCTGCCATCCAGACCCCCCCACTCAGAGGCAAGATTGGTAGATATGGTCCAGTTTATTTTGTACTCTGATATTTTTGAGTAGTGATTAATGAGCTTTGTGACTTCTTGCAGTGAATTGGATGTGGACTGGAGGTACAATAAAATGTCATCTGCATATAAGCTGATCTTGTGATGGTAGTTGGAAACATGGATGCCTTGAATATTATGATTCTGGAGTATTGCAATTGCTAGAGGCTCAATGAATAGGACAAAGAGTGATGGGGAGAGTGGGCATTCCTGTCTTGTTCCTCTATGTAGGTTGAATGGCTTTGATATTGTTCCATTGGTGGTTACAGTGGCCATGGGTGAAGAGTATAGTGTTTTGATCCAGTGTATGAACGACTCTCCAAAACCAAATTTTTGAAGTGTTGAAAAAAGAAATGTATGGTTGACTCTGTTGAAAGCTTTATCAGCATCCAGGGAAGTAACAATGGTTTTGAGGTTGTTAGGTTCAGAAATGTTTATCAGGTTAAAAAGTCTTTGCATGTTATTTGAGGAATGCTGTCCTTTAATGAAGCCAGTTTGATCAGGATGAAATATTTAAGGAATAATTTTTTCGATGCGGATGATCAGGGCCTTGGTTATTATTTTAATGTCTGTGTTGATTAGTGATAGAGGCCGGTAACTGGAGCATTGAGTTGGGCCTTTGTCTGGCTTCAGCAGCAATGAGAGGAGAGCAATGTTCATGTGTTGGAGAAATTTTGGAGGTACGTTTGATTTCTTGGAACATTTTCATGAATAGTGGTGAAATAGTGTTCCAGAAATGTTTGAAGAATTCAGCACGGAGGCCATCAGGACTGGGTGCTCTATTGTTTGGCATTTGGTCAAGTGCCTGAAAGTATTCATCTTGTGTGAGTGGTTTGTCCAGGATATGTGCTTGATCTGTTGTTATTTTGGGAAGGTTGAGAGTATCTAAAAATGAATCAATTTCTAATATATCCGGTTCATGATCACAGGTGTATAGTTTACTATAAAATGATCAAAAAATTCGTTGATGTCTTGGGGTGAGAACATTGGCCTCCCTGCTGAATTTTTCTCTTGTTCAGTTTCAATCTCCATGTCTTTTTTCTTCTTGTATGAGGAGAGTGATGCTCTTTTTCCTCTCATTACTGCTTTTGCTGTTTCCCACAGAGTTGTTGGTGAGGTGTCTGGAGAGTCGTTCATATCAATCAAGGACGCACACTCTCATGGAGTGTAAAATCAGGATCTTTAAGGAGAGTGGTATCGAAGCGCCATCTTGAGCAGAAAGGTTTGATAGGGTAATTGGTGTTCAGGGAAAAAGATACAGGGGCGTAGTCACTTATTACAATGGGATGGATATTTGTATCAGTGATAGTGGATATGATGGAGTTGCTAATGAGAAAGAAATCTATGCGTGAGAAAGATATATGAATGTGTGAGTGATAGGAATATTCCATGGATGTTAGGTTGTGTAATTGCCAAATGTCTCCAAGACCAAAGTCATTCATGTGTTGTTTTATTATTTCAGATGAAGTCCATGGTTTGAAGGCGTTTGGGGTGTACCATCTGTCAAGTGTGTGGTCTATAACTGTATTGAAATCTCCTCCGATAATTAAAGATAAATCAGGCATGTTATTAAATGAGGAGAAGAATGTGCTAACAAACTTGATTTTATTAATTTCTTTTTTTTTTTTAACTAAGTCAAAAATAAATAAATAAATTTAAAAAGTAAATAAATAAATGTGATCCACACTTGAGTAATACTGATACTGATCCTAATTTAACTTATGTCATTTTTATCCAAAAATAAACAATATATATATTTGATGTTTAACACAGACAGACAGACATACAGACAGACAGACAGACAGACAGACAGACAGATAAGAAGCAAGTGACATATCTGACAAACATGGGGACAGACAAACTGACAAACATGGGGAGGGACAGACTGACAAATATGGGGATGGACTGACAGATTGACAGACAGACAAACATGGGACAGACAATGGACAAATACACAAACGGATTGACAACAAAGGTGTGTGTGAGTGTGCATGTGTGTGTGTGTGTGTGTGGGCGGGGGGGTTGTTTGTGCGAGTTCATGTTTAGCGGAGGTGGTCGTTGTTCAGCCAGGTGGTCATGTTCCGGTCACGGTAAAGTTCCCTATGGACAGTTTTTCACAGTTTGTCCACAGAAATGACAGCACATTTTCCTCCCCGAATGAGAAATTTCCAGATTTGGTACAGCAGTTTACATCTGTCCTGTATTTCCCTTGGGATCTGGTCGTTTATACTACAGTGAGTGCCTTTCAGTTCCTTGCCATGAGTTTTAACAAATTCTTTGTCCTTGGGCCTCGGTTTGGTGCTGTTCGTCTTGAAATTACCGATCCGATGAATGCAATGGAAGGAGATCTGTTTGGTTTGTTTGGGTGGCAGTTTGAGGCGTGTTTGCATAAAGTTTTTTCGGGATTTTCTGATATGCCTGAAAACACTAGGTTATCGCGCATGCTGCAGCTTGGGAGATCTAGTATTGGTTATTTCATTTCTTTGTTTTTATTTTAGGTTTAATTGTCATTGCCTCAAACTGACAATATTGACACATTTAACTGTAAAAAGTCAGCAAGATGAGATGTTTTTGGTTAGACACTGCTTGAGCATATAGATGACAAGATAAGCTATGAATGTGTCATCCACAGGGGACACCAAAATTGGCACAAACCTAAAATTCCTCACAGGAGCTTTAAATTTCTTTTTTTTCCTGGCATCTTGACAAGTAGAGGGACCAGAAATATTGTGACATACAGCACACTTAGCCAAGGCATAATGTATGTGTATGTGTTCAATGAAAAAAGCTTGATAAAAGCTTGCAAACCTGTGAGCTTTTAGTACATTTCTGTAGTGTTTCTGAGCTACTGTTATGTTAGTCTTGTTGTTGTGTTGTTGCATACCAAATTGGACCTGAATGACAGCTGTGGTTAAGTATAAAATGTGGTGTCTAACTGACATTTTATTTAATCTTTGAATTAATGACTATTGTAAGATTTTGACTTGATCATTTTTCCTTCAGGCAGTTTAAAAAAGAGGAGGTTCTGCCTCACCAGGCTGCAACACCGTAGGCGTTGGTGTGTATGCCAAAAGCTTTCACAACACCTATGATTACTTTTACTTCTCGCAAAAGTGAAACCTTATCAGAATTGATACTGTGCCAGTGACAGCATTTTAGTCCTTGTACTTCCCGTCAGTTGTTGTCTGCTCAAGAGTTCATGTTTCCAGAGAGCATTGTGGGTGACATCATGAATGTGTGTTGTTTTCCTACTCGCTGACTGAGGTAGAGCAGCTGGTCGAAGGGATTTCCCACTGAGGCTGGGGGATGGAAATGATCTTTAGTTGTGTTACAGTCGATCTGATAGATAACATGAAATGATTTCACACATTTTTATCATAAGTATCTGATTCTTTCAGGCTGTCTGTTTACAGGCCACATGCTGTATTATATTACAAGACGTTCAGGAAGTATTCAATACAGACGTCACACTCCCTCCTTGGCCTGTTTGAAAGTTTCTGTCGTGACCGCAATAATGAGGCAGAGGAGGGGAGTGTAACCAGTTTGTGAACACTAAGTTTTAAAGATGAGAGTCACATCTACAGCAGGGTGCACAGGAGAGTGTGTGGGCTGCTCAATGGGGTTTTCATTTTAATCAGGTGCTGGCTTTCAGGGGGAGGAGATACAGTATGTAGAGTCCCCATTTTTACCTAACCTTCATGGAAGATAAACAACAACCCAAACACACACACACACACACACACACACACACACACACACACACACACACACACACACACACACACTGATAAATGCAAAGGTGGTGTCCAACCCACACAAACACTCACGTTTGCCACACATGACTGATAAACTTTGAATGAGTCACATCCCTGTCTCTCTGTGTCTTTTTCTCTCCCTTGCACCACACTTGCATTCCTATAGGTTGTAATCACTGGTTACCATGACAACGTGCTCAACAAGCAGTAACTGAATGACCCCTGTTTACACAGGGATAATGTTGGGAGCAAATACAGCGCTAGATATTTCTCTCAGATTGTCAGAGCAAGACTTAAACTCAGACTATTACAGAAACTGTTGTGACGTGTTTTGAGTGTGTGTGTGTGTGTGTGTGTGTGTGTGTGTGTGTGTGTGTGTGTGTGTGTGTGTGTGTGTGTGTGTACTAGCTTGTGGAAGTCCAGCAGACTCCAGCAAGGAATGTTAAAAACAGCTGTGGACATGACCAGAAGAATTTACACTGAAACTTAACCTAGGGTGGTATCATACACACACACACGCACGCACGCACGCACACACACACACACACACACACACACACACACACACACACGCGCGCGCGCACACACACACATGGTTGGACCTCTACCTTGGTTAATAATTAAAAAGTGCACACATGAACTGATCCATCTAGTTTAGCAGTAACTTATACATGCTAGGCTCTGAGAAAGTGAATCTGACAATACAAAGAAGAAAAAAGAAAATAGATTTCTAAACATGTGCAGCAGTAATACTTTTTTAAGACTGTCAATACCCTCTAATTGAAAAAACTCACACTCAGTGAGTGAAGCACTTATCAATGCATTTTAGGACTTTAATACAGTCCCTATCACTGATTATAACCTTTCATAGCATTTGAAAGCAATGTTTTTGAAGAGTTATTTAAGCAGTGAGCATTATAAAGGTATGATCTATAACACATTATCCTTCAATGTGAAACAAACAACAGCATCTTTTGATTTCAGGATTTGATTACAGCCCTGTCAACTTGATCCAGTTATAGAGAACTAATTCAGACCATCAGTGTTTCAAATCTTCAAATCATTTAACTGTTAATAATATCATAATGTGCTGTCACTTCACTCAGGGTGCCCACTGTCATACAATGGCATGTTGTAAATATTGATGTGATATTTGAGAATCCTAGTGATTATAATTTCTGATGCCACACTGAATGAGTTCTCTTTGAACCTTCATACCTGGATAGAATTCATAGAGTTTGATGTGTTATGACACCCAGCATTCAATAGACACAGCTGTGGAGCTAGGCCATTATTCAGATTAATTACATACACAATTATATTACAATCAATTAACACTTCCTGGGGTAGTTAGCAGGAGTCATGGGGTCACAAATATGGATGTGTACAAACACATGCTTGCTAATAGAAAGCAGCCATTTGTGTTGTGTTAAGACGCTCTCAGTGTGTTTCTGTCCACCTGTTGTCTTGTGGATTGAAGGATGGGTGAGGCTGCAGCACATGGCTCAAAGCTGACACGGTTCCTGAATGACTAGAGTACTATCTTGTCTACATATGCGCTCCTTTCACAACTTATCATCAGGCCACCACATCTTTGATTACAAACTCCAGCAAAAGTAATCATTATGTCAAAAAATCAAAAAAATTAAAGCTCACAAAAGTCCAAAAGTTACTTTGATGACTTTCAGCATACATTTCAGTTTCTCTGTCATTTCCCATGGTTTGCTTCTCTGTTCATTGTTCCAAATGCTGTTTTGAGTCCCAAAGAGAACCTTTCTATTTCAGAATACAGAGGTCATTCATTTCACATCAGCCCCACTGGAAACTCAAGATCCTTTCATCATATCCTCACTCAGCAGTTCTTAATGCTACGGGAAGTACCCTCCACCCCCCACCCTAATTCTTCTCCCACCCAACAGTATCATCCACACAGCAGCGCTGAGGACAGAGCATTGTTCAGTCAAATTAACCCTCTATTTATGCAGAATGAGGAATACAATCCCACATTGAAAGGAGCTGAACTACGCAGTTTCATTCCCAGCGTGCCTGGTCGTTGGGGCATTAAGGGTCTATCCCTGTGGGACCTTGATTGTGCCTTACAAACTACATTCCCACATGGTGTAGATCAAAACGTACAACCCCAGTTCCAAAAACAGGACACTGTATGAGACAAATTTTAATCTGATTTAATGTGAGACGGTGAGAAAAAAAAGGTTATGCGCCTTTTTATATAGGGTATGTAAACTTCTGGTTTCAACTGTATTTAAGAGAAGATATTTGTCCACAAAACAAAGGAATTCTTCAGCAGCACACAATGATCACACCTTATTTCTGCCTTTTCTATCTGGTCACTCACATTCACTGCAGTAAAATCCAAAATAGTTTTCCATAAGATGACAGGGAAATGATGAACTGCTGTCAAATGAGGGGATCAGTTTTCTCTGTCAGGTGAATGGCTCAATCAGACGGTAATCATTCTGGGCATGCTCCCGTGTTCACGCACCAGGAAGCTGGGAAGCCGAGTAGTAAACAAGCGTGGAGAGGAGAAGTGAGAGTGAGGTCGGTCATCTCACCTCCTTTTTTATTATTTCTATCCCATAATGTGTCCCATAAATGTCCTGCTGAACTCAATGACTACAGACCAGTGGCACTCACTTCACACATCATGAAAACCCTGGAGCGGCTGATTCTACGCCTTCTAAGGTCAAAGACAAACTTAACTCCTGCAGTTTGCATACAAAGAACACATTGGAGTGGATGATGCTGTCCTCTACATGCTTCACCGTGCCCTGTCTCATCTGGAGGAACCTGGGGTTTATGTGAGGATCATGTTCTTCGACTTTTCAAGTGCATTCAACACCATCCAACCCACCATACTCAAAGACAAGCTCACAGAGATGGGAGCGGATCCTTCCTGTGTTTCCTGGATCTCAGATTGCCTGACTGGAAGGCCACAGTTTGTCAGACTGGGGAACTGTGTCTCTGGGACATTAATGAGCAGTACAGGGGCTCCACAAGGGACAGTGCTGGCGCCATTCCTGTTCACACTATATACGTCAGACTTCAAATACAGCACTGAGTCCTGCTACATCCAGAAATACTCAGATGACACCGCTATTGTGGCATGTATCAGAAATGGACAAGAAGCTGAATACACAGATCTAATAAGAGCCTTCAGTGACTGGAGTCACAAAAACTGCCTCCTCCTCAACACCTCAAAGACAAAGGAGATGGTCATAGACTTCCATAGATCCAAACCCCCTCTTCAGCCAGTGAACACCTGTGGAGTGGACATCGAAGTGGTGACATCATATAAATACCTAGGTGTACATCTGGATAATAAGTTGGACTGGTCTAAGAATATAGACTACACCTACAGAAAGGGGCAGAACCGCCACTTTAGCCTGAGAAGACTCTGATCAATAGACATCTGTAGTAAGATGCTGCAGATGTTTTATCAGTCTGTGGTGGCAAATGTTCTGTTCTACACTGCAGTCTGCTGGGGAGGAAGCATCAAACACAAAGATGCAAGACGTCTTAACAAACTGGTGAAAAAGGCTGGCTCTGTGGTTGGACTCAAGCTGGACTCAGTGGAGGATGTGGTGGAGAGATCTACACTGAGGAAGGTGGAGACTATTCTAAAGAACATGGATCACCCACTTCACAACAAAGGGCAAATGGTGGTGGACGGCTCCTCTCTCTTCACTGCAGGACAGAGAGATTTAGAAAATCTTTTGTACCAACAGCCATCAGACTTTATAACTCTTATGTAAATAATAGATAACTTTTATAAACACATTATGTGAGACAACAGACAATTGAATTTCTCTTCGGGGATCAATAAAGTTCTTCTTATTCTTATTCTTATAATGTGCCAGTCTTCCAGGTTCATAACAGTGTAAACCTATCTTTGTTGATGTTTTAGAGTTTCATGACCTGAAAACTAATACATTTTGCAAATCAATCACCTTTGATATCAATCTGCACCACAGCAACATTTTTCAACCAAGTATCAAAACTAGACAGAACTCCAGCTGCATAAGACACCCTACACTCTCCCTGCAGCATCTGAATTACCAAGAAGATTTGCTGCTGCGTTTTCAAGACCTGGACTAACTAGGAATGATTCCAGGGGACTAGCAGGAAATATTCCAGGTGTGGTTGGGGTGAAAAATTGACTGTCACTGCTCACACATCAGAAATTTTCTATGACTTCATGCAAGTCTGACCGGAGCAAAAGAGAAATCAAAATTTCTGATTCTGCAATCAAAGAAGCAGAAAAAGATGATGAAGTCTGTCTGCTTCTCAAGTTGAAACTATTTATTACGATGTTTTTACATCCAAACAGAAGCAGGAAAAATCCCAACTATCACGTGTGAGAAACATGCTAATGGGACTAAAAGTGTTCGCGCCACACAGGAGGAGTGATGCATCATCGGGGAGCAACAGAGGAAGTGGAAGTGTGGAGTTTATCAGGGTCAGCACTATCACAGAGACCACCCTGTTTCTGCTGCACAACACTATTGTCCTGCTGGGAGAAGGAAGAAGTGGGTGAAGGTTAGGAGTACAAGCAGATTAGGGTGACCATACGTCCTCGTTTTGGGGGCTGTCTGGCCTTCAAATATCCAGGGTTTGGTACGGAAGCCCAATTTTTTCCCCTTGTACTAACCATACATGTTTAATGGTTCATTTGGAAACACACCCTGAAGCCGAAAACATACAGGATCCATATTGAGCGCGTTCCGTATTTGCTCTGTAGAGCAGCATTTGGTATCACATACAGGATGCGTATTTGGAGCGTGGCAGCAGCGTAGTGCAGCCCTTGTCAGCTGGGCTCAGTATAGAGGAAACAACATTCTCACAACAGGTTGTTTTGCCTTTCTGTGGTCTATTTCCTGTTAATTTGGATATAATTCAGTGACCGTTGAGCCCCTACTGTATGTGAAAAAGCAACGTGATTTGACAGTTTTGGTTTTTGCAGGTTTACTTTTGTTTCATAAAGTAAACTATGTTCCTTTATACTGTACTGTTACCTTCAGACAGAGTTAGCAGTTAAAAGTCCTGTTGGGGTCCACATGGATCAGGTATTGACCATGGTATTATTCTGTGTTACTTATAAATCTAAATCTGGCAGTAGCTCAGGAGGTAGAGCAGTCATCCAATAACCGGAAAGTTGGCGGTTCAATTCCCCCCTATCCAGAGTCTGTCTGTTGTGTCCTTGGGCAAGACACTCAACCCACCTTACTACTAATGTGTGTCTCTGGTTGAGTGGGTAGTGCTTGGCTTCAAATGCCCAAACGTTTACCCAATGTGTTGGGTAGTCCACAATAAACAAACAAAACTGTATAGAAATTTCAACCCAACAGCTAATAACTCTGTTCCCAACATAAATAACCTTGTGAATTGGGTACTCAGAAAACCCAACTCCATGAAACTAACCCAAATAAATTGACCAACAGGCTCAACCTAGTGGTTGGGTTGAAAAAACAACCCAGCATTTTTTTGTGTGTAGGCTCTCATCTTCACCTGGTCCTGACTGTGGGCTGAACAATAGTCCTGACCGGGTTATGTAGCTTTGCTAAGCTAGTCATTGTGATGATCTTTTCAGGCGATAAGAGTCAACCTTACTCAATACTCAACAGATCTAATTTTACAATCAAATTTCTGCCACATTCAATCCAAACAAAACAGTGCTTTCAATGCTTCTCTCTATATTCTGCTTCTCACGTATGTGACTGCAGTGACCCTGGTTACTATGATGTAACATATGTTGCATAGTAATCGGACTGTTACATGGATTTAAAGGCACAATTACAAATTGAGCGGGTTCGTAGATAAATGTAAAGCATGGGACATAGTAAAACCACTGGTAAAGAATTATTTCAGGGATCAAAACAGTGGAAATTTAAACTTGCAATTAGAGAGGAGAAATTAAACATTCAGTGATTAATCTGGACTGAAGAAACTGGTCTTTTGACTGCTCTGCTAAAAGAAAATCATAGATACTCCTAAATAAACAGAGGTACTTTTACTTTGTTGAATTATTGCACTGCATCACAATCCATTTTTTAAAGGGAGATGGTGTGTTTTTTCCACACTGCTCACTTCATATGCTGGAGCAGAGGATCAGTACGCCTTATGGAATGTTGCTGACAGGAAGGGCAAGACCTGAAGCCAAGAAACCGGACTGAGAGAAGAAGAGGGGGTGGAGAAGAACACATTAAAAACAGCAGCATTTTAAGAAAAAGGGCATACACTGTGAAGGAATTGTAGTGCAGAATTCAAACATATTTACATGTAGTTTGAACCTCAGGTGAATAGTAGTGAAATAATCCACATCTGTTGGGAATAAAACCTGCACATTTACAGTATATCTTAAATTACCAGTCACTGAAATCCTGTTTGAAGGTCCCCTCTGCTGTGCCTTTCTTGGGAAAGCTCAGCTAAGTGTAATCCTGCAGCTGTCTCTACAAAAACCCTCAAAAGTAATCCTGGGATCATCATGTCTTCCTCTGTAATTTTTTGATGGGATCTTTTTGGGATTACAGCTAGCCAGCAATTACTGGATACAGGAACTGATATATGTGTGTTGCCAGGATGTGTTTTTGTATTGTCTGAGACATACAAAAAAAAAAAAAAAAAAAAACCCAGCAGAGCTTCAAAAACATCTTTTTTTTTTTAAAGGATCCTAAAAGTCCTTTGGGTTTGTATTGATTTTGGCGCCCTCTGTGGACCCAGTGCTTTACTTATTGCTAATTTTTGTCCTGTACATGTGTAAGTTGTGCTGTACAACAAAAATTGTCCATCCTGAACAGCTTTGAATCAACAGTTAAATGCAATTTAGCTTGTTGATATCTGTGGTTTCTTTTCACATGTTCTCCAGTCACAGTTATAAAAATTAAACAATGACTGCTTTATTTAATTATCTGCTTTATTTTGTATCCTATAAAAACCTAGTGCCATTCATTTCAGTTGGTTTTACAGCCAGTTACAAGCCTCGACATGAGCTTCAATTCACTTTGTTTAATCCAGATATTTTGCATGGGAAGGCCAAGGTCGAGACAAAAGGTCACATTGCGAAAAACAAACCGACAGCAAACTAACAAAACCAGTCAGACACTGACAGAGATTTAAAGCAAAGCTGAGCTGAACAGTCAAATTACTCAATCTGTACTCTGTAAAAATATGTGATAGTACACAGATTCCCACCGCAGTTATGTCACTTATGGTTACTTGCTTACTATCTCTGGCTTGTTCCAAACCTGACTGTGTGCTCAGACCTTACTGGTTAACCCAGTGAGAATAATGTTGCATAAAAAGTGAGGAGCACTAAACAAAGCTCCAAAATATGAAGCAAGGATTTGTTTTTCAAGTGATAAATGATCCAGTCTGTAAAACTCATAATTGCAAACTGCATAATTTACACTTATCTTAAAAGTGAGTCAATTGTAAATGGATAGTGTCTGAAGAAAGAGGGCAGAAAACCCCAAAACAAAAATGGTGAGCCCTCCAGGAGAACCAACACTGGTATAAAACCAAATGCTTCCTAATCAAAAAATGTTAATTGTTTTGCATGCACTGTGGCTACTTTATCTATCAATAGTGAGTCTATACACTGTTCACGTATTCATAACCTGTTGTACTGTTCTTATGCATTAGATTCACTTCACTTATTTTGATGTCTATACTTAACCAGTGTTGGTCTGCCCTTTGTAGACAACAACAGTCCACCTACTCCCATGGTTCATTCCATATAGTTCAAGGGATTCTTATAATCTTAATTTAGTAGTATTGCATAAACTGCTCTTTATATTTTTGTACTTTTGATAGTTTTTTATTTTATACTTATGTTTTATATGACATAAATGTCCTATTTTTATATCACTGATCCATGACCCTTTAAAAGCTTTTTGAGGACAAACAAAGACATTTAAATTGAAAAGTAGTGACACTCAGTGATGGTAGTTCTGCTGCTGTTGGGTCATAACCTGCTGTTTGTGGTCCTTTAATGAGGGTCAGACTCAGGAGAAGCAGACTCAGCCTTGTGTAGACCTTCGGTGAAGCAGTCAGGTGAAGAGGTAGCTTGCACTCACCTGCTGAAGCCAACTACAGACATTAAAGTTAGCTTAAGTAACATGTTCTGGCTGACAGTGTTTGATCCAGATAAAATTCAAAGATTGCTGTTTGTCATTTTTTGGATGTGTACATCATTCCTCTCCTTTGTTTGGGAACATTTAAAATCAGCATGATGAAGTGTGCTAATAACAAGAATGCAGATCAGACTTTTGGATCACTGAATGGATGAACCTGGTCCAGCCATTAGCTATAGTCTGTGTTTTTCAGCCAACAGTCTCCTGGCTTTCTGCCACAAGGATAGTATCTGTCATGTGCATCTT